TTAGAACTCGCCGGCAGCACGGCACTGCGCAAAATTTTCGCCAACGCCGCTCGCCCCGTTTTTCGCCAAATTCGGCCATTTCCGCCAAAAAAACTGAGTCTATTTTTGCCCAGACGTGTGGTCGCGGAATTTGGCTTGCCGAGGGAGTAAAAAATTTGACGGATTTGTCTTCGCTTTACGAACTATTAGCTGGATTTGCAAAAAAATTTGCAATTTGCGCACTGTATAAATTGTTTTTATTCAGATGAATATCAGTTTAAATTATTGCAAAGGTTGGAATAAAATTTTAAATTTCACTATCATTTGCGTTTGAATTTAATTGCACCAATAATAAAATTGATAAATGATCCAGAAAAATTGAATTATTGCTTTTAATAGTCGATTAGTAAAAATGAATCCCTGATTATTTTAAAATAAAAATAATTTCATTCAGTGCTTTCTAATAAATTTTATAGAACGAAATGTTTAAATCAAAATAATTTTTGTAAACAAAATTACTAAAAAATTACCAAGGAAATATCTTGCTAAAAAAATTAGTTCAAATTTTTATTTGAATTAAAATGAAAATGATTATAATAATTATTCCAAAAGTCATTTTCTATGTATTTTCAGCATTTTAAATTTTTATTGAAAATTGTTCATTAATTCAATTTATTTTTGTATTCTTTCCATAAATTTCAGAGAATTTTACTTGAATAATCCTTCAACTGCGCTATCCTTGTCATTTTGTTTCTGTAAATGTTTGCTGCATGAGTAAATAATTTTTGGAGTATGTATATTAATTAATATTTTTAACAAACATCTACTGTACACACACATTTACACTTTCTTTTTATTGATTTGAACCCGATTAAAAGTTGCATAATCCAGAAAGAGAAACAATTTTATTATAAAATCACCCTTATTGATCTATATGGCAAAAAATAATTTTTTAGTGCCGTGTCGTGTGTTTCACACCTCATAATTACTGACCTAAACTCATAAGTAATGGACATTGTTGGATTGATCAAAACACAAAACGATTATAAAAAAAAATTGCAAACAAAATCAATTTTTACCTGACCGCAATAAAAATTTACAATTATTTTCTTGGCTTCTTTATTTTGTTAGTGAACAGGTAAAAATTATATTAATAATTATGTGAAAAAGTGATCATACAATTTAATTATTAAAACAAAATGTAAATATGCGGATATATGGAAATATAAACATGTTTTTGTAACGGTTTTTACACAAATTTGATAGAAACTTTTCCCCTTTAACAATTTAAATGCCTAAAATTGTTAAAAATTCATAAAATAAACCCTTCTTACGCAAGAACTTTGAAAATAAGAAGATCAAAACTAATAAACTTGGAAAAATGGTTTATGTTAAATAAATGCTAATAAGAAATATTTCCACAAGATCTTCCTTCCCCTTTCTTCCCTATTATATTTATAAAAAGTTTCATAAAGTGAAAGACGAGTCGGTTTTTTATTTCTGTGGGAAGGAAAAAGGAGATAGCGCAGCTTCGATAGGAGAGCCACACAGCATCATAGACAAGATGATAAAGGAGAGAAGACGCTGCTGAGCCGCGCCGGCTTGGAAATTAAGCAGAATTCCGCAGCTGGGAACAGCCTTGAAGACGCAGCATAGAAAAGTTTGCTAGGCCTAGCTAGGAAAGAAAGAGAGACGATCTCTCTCTCTCTCTGAGAACACAAAAAGAGAAGAGACCTAGCCTAGCTGCTTGTGTGTGTGAAACGTATCTGACCTGCTCTAACAATCGTGTGGCCGAGGAGAGGCAAGAAGGAAAATAGAGCGAGAGAGAAAAAGGGTTGCATCTTTTGTGATGGGGAAAAAAACAGCGGCACTGCATGCGCGTGTTTCAAATGCAGCGGTGCGAGAGCCGGGGGGCGTCTTTGGGGTGCAAAATCGCACTTACTAAATAAAACGCAAAGTGCGCGTTCGCGCTAATCGTTTTAGCACTTGAATTAATTGGAACGTCCCTTGAGTTTAATTATTAACACCAGTTTAATGGATAGTTTTGATTTGATTTTAAAGTAAATATATTAAATTTTTGCTCAAAAGCTGTTTTTTATTTTAGAGTAATTTTTCCACTTTTTATCAATTTTAATTCTAAGTAATTACCAGAATTTAAATTACTTCTAAGTAAAATACAAAACTTCAAAATAAAAATAATTGGGGAAGTAGAAAGTTGCAATCTTTTATAAATAAAGACTTTTAAGAACTTAATTTAAAAAAAGTTAAAATTTTAATTTTATTTCGTCTGTTTAAAACTCACTTTTAGCACTTAAATTGTTTCCTAATTTCCATTTTAAACGCTTCAGTAGCCAATATTTTCATTCTGAATAAATTTTTTGAACCAAATCTTAAATAAAATTTAAATAATAAAAAAATTCATACAAAAAAGTTTTAAACTTTTCATAAATAACTTCATTCTTTTGATTCAATTTTTACGCCAAATATTCAGCTTGATATTATTTTTTATTTCTATTTTCTCGAACATTAAAGAAGAACAGGAAATTTGGAATTTGGAATAAATTAAATGTTTAAAATTACATTTCCTCAATTAAACTTTGTCCTTTTTTGCTTTTTTTCGAGATGAATTTTGCTCTAATTTTCATAAGCAGCGGCAATCTTGTTGTAAGTCGAGGGCTTGCCACTTATTCTCGGTAAAACAAAACCGGGAAGGAAAATTAATGCCCTGGCCAAATTTCGGCGCACAAGAGCCGGCTCTCGAGGGTCCTCCAAGTTCAAATCGCGCCAAGTCGGCTCTGCAATGTCAATGCGGAGGGCTGCGTGCGTGGGTCCTCTCGCGAAAACTTGGAGAGATGCTTAATAAATTTATATATTTAAATGCAAACGAGCTCGCGAAAGAGAGAGCCAGAGGGTAACGTTAATGAGAGTTGTTGGAAATAATAATTCCTCGAGTGATAACGTAAAAACTCACCCTCCTATTGTTGTTGATAATACCCTCCCCAGGTCAAGTGTACCGGCCGCCGATTGGTTCTCGCCGTGTCAGCCATGATGTTTTTTTCTTTTAGGCATCGGCAAAGAGGGGGAAGGCGGCGTTGCCGATTCACCGACGGCCACTCGACGTGATGCTAATTATTCATGTGCGGCATTGAATTATATGATCTCGGGAGAATTCGCCGGTTTGGCCCGTTTACGAATTAACTCCTCTTTTTTCCTTCAATCGGAAATTAGAAATAATTGATTTTATTTCATTTATTTACATCCGGTCTTTTTTCGGAACGCGATTATTTATATTTCCCTGATATTCTGTGCGTGAAATCCACGCCGGCGAAGAATGAGGCTTGCTTATTCATAAATAATCCAATTTTCCTTAAGACGGCGGAAACAGGATTTTGACCGCGTGGAAAATCGATCACCTCTTCTTAGTATGAGAAATCAGGACCGAAACCCAAAATCCTTTCCAGTGGAAATAATATAAGTGACAATAAAAGAAGGGAATTTGTTAGTTTAAACTTAGCATTAGAGAATTTAAAGATTGTTTTTTTAACTATTAGAAATTATACCATAATTTCATTACTTTTATCAGTAAATTAATAAATAATTAATCATTTGAAAAGAAGTGATGGCATTTTGAAAGTAAAAGATTATTTAAATAAATATTTAGGGGGACTTTAAATCAATATTAAAATTTAATTAGGATGACAGGGAAATATTTGAAGACAACTTTTATTGTGAAAGTTGTCAAAAGAAGTTTTAATCATAAGAGCGACATACTTTCTGGCGAAATATTTGTTTATAAATTCTATAAATCATAAATAAACATTTTAACTTCAATTTGAAACGGTTTTTTAGAAATCTGATTCAAAACTAGCTGTATTCTCATATATTTTGTTTTTTGTTCAAAAATTTTCGTCCGCATTGTGTCAGATTAATTTAATTAACACTAATCAATTCCCAATTATTCTCTGTTGATTTTATTATTTTGCCTCTAATTTTAATTTTAAACTTCTGAAAAATAATCAAAACAACAACCTTAATTTGCTAGTTTAGAAGCTTTTTGTGACAGTTAAAGTCAATCATAATTTTTATTGGTCTTTATACAAAAACCATAATCATAATAAATGGGACAAAAATACTTTCAATAATCTTGCTATAAAGATGATGTGTAGGGATTAAAAAAAATAAAACTAACTAAAACAGATCAACAAATTAAAAAAAAAAATGCGCATGACCACAGATTTGAGTTTTAATTACAAAATCTAATGAATTTTATAAATTTTTCGTATGGGTTACTCAATGAAGACGGCAAATAATTAAAAAAAAATTATAGTAAAGAGAAACACGGCCGTTTACTTGACGCAGAAAATAATTTTCATTTACAAAACGAAACAATTTTCACATGTAAACAAGCCGGTTAAAAGGCATCTCTTTTACCATCTGTATAAGTAAAATTATTTATAATTTTCTAAATCTCTAACCGATTGTTTTAGCATAATATGGGCTCTTTCAAGATCTAAAATAAAAAACTTACGCAATTTTTTTTATCATATTTTCAGGTAAAAATTGCAATCATAAAACAAAAGTGACCAACTTTCAAAAGGCTAAAACTGGCTGCGATTATGAGAGTTATCGAGCTGCTGCCGATTCACTTTTTGCAAAAACATTCCTGCACAAATTTTGCAGTCATGCCGGCTATTCATTCAACACAGATCTGGCGCGTGTTGGAGCACGTTCGCACCGGCAAAAATGCGCACGGTGCTGGAGCCAGTGACCCTGGAGACATCCGCAGGTCCGAAAACACCTGCCGAATGGGGCAGGTCTCGCCCCAGAGTCGACCTAAACAAACTCTCCGAATCGTCGCACGTGGAGAGAGATTCGCGGTACATCGTCATGCATGCGAAATGTATGGAAATGAGCGTAAGTACTTACAATTACAGCCGCAAATACCGCGTGCACCGAGAGTTGTTCTCCTTTTTGCGAACGAGCTCGTCGCTGATTGGTCGGCCGTGCCGTCACCAACCAAGCGGCCACGCCCCCTTTCCAACAGCTGGGACTCTTCGATTGTTCGATTTTGTCACTCTGCGTACTTTTAGGCTGGAAATTCTCAAAAAGCAGCCGTGCGAAATGAGTTCAGAGTTCAAAATCGTGGTCAAGTGGAGCGGAAAGGAGTACCCGATCGAGTCCATCAGCGAGAGCGATGACGTAGGCGCCCTGAAGGTTGCAATCCAGGAGGCCACCGGAGTGCGTCCCGAGAGACAGAAACTGCTCAACCTGAAAGCCAAAGGTTCGCGCTAATTTCCATCGGCTTTTTCTCTTATGTAACAAAAATTTTGATTTCTCAGATGACTGCATTGTGCTGTCAACGCTGAAATTGAAGCCAGGGTTCAAAATTATGCTGATGGGGTCCCTGGAGGAGGACGTTTTGGCCGCAGCTCCACCACCTGAGGAAGAAATGCCAGAGGTTGTGAATGATTTAGACATAGAAGATGAAGAGGTTGCTATTGAGAAGAAAGAAGTGTACCTGTCCAAGGTAAAACTGAAATTAAATAACACTTTATTTAAAAAAAAAAAATATATATATATTATTTTCTGATTAGATTGAAAGGAGAATTCAACAGTACGAGATTAAAATTTTGAACGAACTAAGGGACGGAAAGAAATTGCTGGTCCTGGATATTGACTACACCTTATTTGATCATCGTTCAGTGGCTGAAACTGGTTACGAACTGATGAGACCCTACCTACATGAATTTCTAGAAGCTGCTTATAATGTAAGCTATTAATTTTAGAAGTTGGGATAAACAGACTAATTGAATTATTTCCAAGGATTATGATATCGTGATTTGGTCAGCTACAAGCATGAAATGGATTGATGAGAAGATGAAGCTGCTTGGAGTCACAAACAATCCCAAATACAAAATTGCCTTCCACCTGGACAGTCTGGCAATGATTTCTGTCCACACAAAGAAATACGGAGTGATCGAAGTAATATTTAAAGCAACTGATTAAATTTCTCTAACAAATTACTTTTTCAGGTGAAGCCACTGGGAGTGATTTGGGGTAAATTCACGCAATATTCAGCTAGCAATACCATTATGTTCGATGACATACGTCGCAACTTCATCATGAATCCTCAGACGGGACTGAAAATCCGTCCGTTCAAAAACGCGCACATGAACCGTGCTGTGGACCGGGAGTTGCTTCAGCTGGCCGGTTACCTCAAGGCTATCGCCCAGTTGGAGGACTTCACAGATCTGAACCACAAGCACTGGGAGCGCTTCGGAACCTCGCACAAGTCCAAGAAGAGACGCGCCAGAGAAGACACTGCCTGAAGTGTTGATTCAAGGTTGAACTGTGTTTCATAATCGCGTGTCGGCAATTGTTGAGTTTTGAGGACACAAGTTTAATATTGTTCATCTATTGCAATCTTTATCAAGAAGTTATAAATTCATCATCGATGAAGGCGAAGTTTGAAGGAAAATTACAATTTTGTCACGCCAAGTTAAAATGATCTCTCATACAAATTTTAAATTAGAATCACTTTCACATTAGAAGAAATTAAAGCAAAGTAAAATTAAATTTGGATACTTCTCATGGCATAAAATATTCAAAGAAATTTTAAACAATACTCGAAAATTGGTTTAACTTCAATTTCTATGCTTTGGAAAATTCAGAAAGTTGCATGCAGTGGCATCTTTCTTCAAAATGTGGCACCAACCGCAGTACCAGAGTCTGGCGGTATTGATCCATTGTAATGTTTTTGCTTTAGTCCAGTCGCCTATAGTTCGACTTATTAAATGGACATTAACTATGTTTCCAACTTGTTAAAGTAAGTTTTGCTTTATAATTAATTTTGATTTGATAATTCTCTTTCAAAATTTTAAATGCCAGCCCGGAACTTGATGATTATCTTCAATCAAAACCTCGGAACAACTCTGCTCTCCCACTGCAAGAAATATGTATCTGTTGTATCATTAAGAATTATTACTTTTTCATTTCCCATGCGAATACACATCAAACAAATCCATGCGAACGGCTACGTAAGAAATTTGATCAATGTCAAGTTGTTTCTTGATTGTTAATAAATTTGATTATTTTGCAGCAAATTCAATCATTCAGAAAATATTCCTAGTACTGGCAGAGAAACAAAAATGCAAACGTAAGGCTATCCCTCAACGTCGACACTCTAAGGAGTTTATTAAATTATTTCTCAACTCCAACATCAAACGTTTTCCATTTCGAGACTTATGCTTCTTGTCGGTATCTGATGCTGACAACATTTTTGACCATTTAGTTGAAAATTGCCCCAAAGTTGAAATAATTGAAAAGCCAACGTTTCGAATTCTACGATCTCGGAACTGCTTCCAACCTCCTTTGCTACAGCCTCGACATTTGTGCAAATGGAAAAATTTGTCGGTGGCGCAGTTTGGTGATTTCCCTTTGAATGATAGTGTTCTCCACGCTGTCCAAGAAAATCTGAAGTTTTTGGAGTAAGGGAATATTAAATTTAAATATGTAATTAATTTGCAATTTTTTTTTAATCAGAGTATTTGAATTCACACTATCAAAGAACGGAGACATTTCTCTTGAAGGCTTAAACTGTTTGAAGAAGTGCACCAGAATCCGCCACATTCAAGCAAATGCATATCAAAATCACTCCGAAAGCCTCCGGTTTGTGGTTGCCATACCTGGACTTCCGCCAAACCTCCAGAAATTTGGATCAAATCTTTTGACCTGTGATGACACTTCCAACTACTGCGTTGTTGAGGAAATTTTTTCCAAATTTAAATCTACAAGAAAATTGACCCTTCTTAAATTAACTTTGACTGATGCACCAGAAGGTCTCAATTGGCCAGAAAATTTTAATGTTGATTGTTTGGAATTAATTGGCGCCCCACAAAAACAATTTAGTAGTTTTGTTTGTACTATTCCTAAGCCAATAGAAAAAATTGTATTTGATTCTATCACTCCTAATGAGATCCATACAATTTTGTCAAAATTTGTCTCCAATTTGATACACTTGGAGATACTGAGTAAAAAAGGAAGCCTCCGACGGTATATAAATGAGAAACTGAATTTATACAAAATATTTTCTTCTGCGCCCAATTTGCAAAAATTTGTCTTCCTCGCACCATTTCATTTAGAAGGACAGGAGCTAAACTGTGGACTTACTCCTCGTCATTTTAAAAGCATCTCCTCATTTGAGGTATATACCTTTTAAATAGAAATATTTCAATTAATTTCTTGATTTTTTTTTAACAGATAATTTTCCTAAGTGGAGATGGCACCCAAAATCTAATGAAAAATATTATAAAGCTAGCGTATATCGGCTCAAATTATATGACCAAGTTAAATATTTACACTGACTGTGATGTGGCCGCCGCTCTTGAAGTGCTGCAGGAGAGCCCAGATAGTTTAGTTGCTGTAAATGAATTGCGAGCGCACCATTACATTTTGAACACGCAGTTAATAAAGGTCAGAGAAATTAAATGAAGCAACTTTTTAATTAATATTTTTTCTCAGGTTATAGTCATTTTGGTGGAGCGATCTGCACATTTTAAAACCATCAGTCTGATCTGCAGTAACGAGCGGAATTTAAAGCCACTGAGAAAAATGTACCCTGGATTTTTTCTGTATTTACAGAGAGCTAAGATAGCTTATAATGTTATACTGGATGATCAGTAAACTGCTTTGTGATGACATCGGTCGTAATGCATTCTGAAGTTTCAAACTTTTAGATTTTTATGAAATAAAATTATGCAAAAAAAAAAACCTTACCAATTATATTGCATTTTATTTTTTAGTTATCAATATATTTATTAGGATAAGTTTATTTTTTGAAATCAATGAAATCCAGTTTTGAATTTATTTAAACTTTTTATAACTCTTCACTCTCGCAGTCCCAGTATGAGATGAGAAATCATTCAGACCGAGAAAATCTGCCTGTACTGGGAATCGAGCCTACAATCTCCGGGCTGGTCAATCAACTCAAATTATTTTCCCGCTCTGAATAACATGGTGCGCCATCTACCAAATCTCCTCTACAACTTACAAGACACCTGCAAAACGAGACAACAGAGGGTGAATTCTCCCTTCTCCCTTATTTGTTATTTTCTTGGTTTTCTTGTAAAAAGCCAGGTGCGGATGTGCGGAACTGCGGACGCCGCCAACAGCAGATGTTTGTCAGACAGTCAGGCGTCTTGAAAAACGAACAACTGCCTCCTAATTTTCGTCAATTTTCTTAATTCAATCCTAAATTATCCAGTTTTGATTCCCGTTGAGACTGCTCTTCATAGCCAGCAATTAATTTTCAGGTATGATCAGAAAATTTTTCAGTTGAAGACCTAAATTAAGGCGTACGAAGTAAGAAAATAATTTGTGTTGGAGGCTTTATGCATAAAATGGCGCGCTTTTGGAAAATTCATTATTTTGATTTTTATTTGCAGCTCGATGACACGAATTTTGGTATCTGGCAATTCCAAAGTTTAATTTCTCCCTTGTCCATCGTGTAAAGAGGGAAATAAAATTGTGGATTAAAACAAAAATAAAAAAATCACCACGCTGTGTAAAAGTTGCTGCCCGGAGAAATGGACGTCAATAATTACTGCGACTATCAAAACATGAGGTATATAAAAAATAATCTTATTAATAATATATAGAATAAAAAATTATGGTGTGGAGTTTCAAATTCTTAACAATATCTGCCCTTAATTAAAGCTAAAATTAATAGAATACACAGTCTCGATGGTGGGTAAATTATTCTGGGCCTTACTTGGGCCTGGTCCGATTTTTGGATCTCCTCAATTATCCATTTATTTTTAATCAAAATTCTTAATAATTATATATTTGCATAGTATAAATTTTTAACATAATTTCAATTAAAAAAATTAATCTGATTTAAAATAAATTATTTACCAGCTCAACTCAGAGGTCCGAGCTTGCAAACAAAATTCGATTAAGACGAAATTTAGTGGCTTTACCTGAGAGTTTATTCAAATTGTCAATCAAAGCAGTCTTTGCCAATCGTGACCTTTTCTTCGACCAAGAGCAAAATCCATTCAGATATTTGCGTAAGTATTTACAAATTTTATGGGATTTGAGCACAATTTAAAGATGCTCTGCATTTTAGCTTGCTCTGTAATCCAAGAGTTCCTCGCCTTGATTGCAAAAGAGAGACACCCCAGAGGAGGACTTATTCCATACGCTCTCGAGACACAATTTGTTCTGAAGCTCCTGAACCCCAATGTTACCCAACTCGACCTTGGCAAATTTAGACAGAATATCCAGTCGGAGTACGAAATTTACAGGCACCTGGTGGAAAACTGTCCCAAAATAGCTAAGATTATCAGGACGCATAAATTAATTGACTTGGAACCTGTGTTCCCCATGGAAGACCTGCGTCAGTGGAAAAATCTGAAATACATTGGCCTGTTGAACTGTATGTGCACCAACCTGAACCTGCAACAAATACAGGAAGAAATTCCTCTGCTTGTGTAAATTTTCTCACTTTTTCATAATTTAGATTTTTTCTTAATTTGGATTTTCAAATTTCAGTGGATTGGAAGTGTCTATGGAAACCCTGACTGAAAAATCGGTGGAGCATTTTTCTAAAATGCAGCACCTTCAACATCTTGCCATACAACCAGGGACGAGAGAAAAGTCGGTTGATACTAAACTTTTGGTGATGTGCGTTGGCAGCGTTCCAAAATTGAAGACTTTCAAGCTCCATAATTTTGGTTATGATGAAAATGAGGGAGATCGATTCATAACTCTGTATGGAGAATTATTCCCGAAAAAGAAAATCACCATTGACTTCATAAGGTATAAAAAGAGATATTTCAAGAGGGCAAATTTTAATAATTAATTTTGTTTATTATAGGGTGAGAACTCCTCTAGTTTTGTGGCCAGCGTGCTTGCACACCAATGTCTTGGCTATCGAGGAAGTCGAAAACCAAGACCACCAAGACGCTCTCGAGAACTTGGTATCCATGCCACTCCTCCCGAGAGAGGTTCGAGTTAATATCGACAGAAGTGTTGTCTACCCGATCATCAATAAGATAGGAAAGAAAATCCGAGTATTGACCCTGAGTGGTCCCTCTTTTGGCACACCTGCAAGTTTATACAACATTATTGAAAAGTGTCCAAATTTGGAAGTTCTAAATTATAACAAATTAGTCCAAGCCCAGTTTGAAGATGTTTACAGACCTTTGCCACTGAGCTACTTCAAAAATTGGAAAAAGTACAGATTGCATTATGCTTGCATATTATATTATATAATCAACAATTATTATAATGATTTCCAGATTTTCTATGTGTGACATCGGACTTTTACAGGACATCAGCAAACCTGATTTTGAGGATAACACGATCACCAATTTTGACCGTATATTCAAGATGTTTTTGCTCGGGACGGAAAATTACAATCGTAAGCTGGAGGTCCTGACCCTTGCCCAAATCAAAATGCTGAACGAAGCTTTGGTGGAAAGCCCGTTGTGCCTCAACAACTTGGAAGAAGTTTGCGTCAACATGTACAGGACCAGCATTGTGGAGCCTGCACTCCAAGTAAATAATTTTTTTTTTTATTGTTGGTCAATGTACTTATTATTTCTGTAATATTTAGATGCTTCAAAGTCTGATCTTCCGCTCACCTTATCTCAAGAAAATTGTGGCTTGCATTTCCAGCTTGGATCGTGTAGCTACTCACCGAGTCCTCACAAAAGACCACAAATGGTTCACCCAGTTGACGGGGGAGGTTGGATTGCATGTCAAAGTTGTTTACACTGGTTCAGTCTTACCAGAATCTGACATCTATCTAGATTATTTACCAGCCAAAGAATTGCCAGACGAGGAAAACGAGGTTGTATCTGTTTAATTTGGTTGCTATTTTTTTGAGGCAAAAAATTAACTTTAGAGACGAAGAGAATTATAATTTAATAACTATAGTTAAATTTTTTGGCATGACATTCCATTTTCTTATGCCAAAAGTTTTTCTTACACAAAATAAATGCTCATGCACACTTTTGTAGCAGTTATTGATTGAAACGAACAAGTGTTTGACGTATTAATAAAATTACCAATTCGCAGAAATGTTATGCAGAAATATATCGGACTAAATAAATTAGGAATTCTTCTTTAAATCAATAACTTGGGTATCTTTTACTTTGAATATTTTGTTTTTTATGGTGATTAAAAAATAAATAAAAAAAAAGTTTAGTTGTAATTATCTACTTTATAAGAAATAATTATATGAAAAAAGGAAATTTGTGTTTTGCATAAAAGATAACATATTCAGGGCAGGGAAATTTAAAAAAGGGTGACCCTGTGAGTGACTTATGCAGTTATAGAGGGGCTCTCAACTAATGGTGGGTGGCGCTGGATGCAGTGGAAGGAGGTCAACATCAACCATACTGTTACAGTGGATATTTTTATATCTCTCTTTTTGGTAAAAACGGCAAACGCAAATAATCTTAAATGAACACAATACACATATAGTCATGTTTGGTGTAAAATTGAAATTTAGAGCTAATATTATAATTATTTTAGGGAGAAAAAAAATTTATTTTCTCCATAAAATCTATAATACATTTCTAATATTTCAACAGATATAAAAATTATCATTCAAGCAGCATTATTCATTTTTTAGCAGCAACGCAATAGGAATTTTTCTCGACTACTATATCTCAAGTTCAAGCAGTGTTTTCTAGTTATTATTATTAGTATTATTCATCAATGTACATACGGACATCAACGGAGACCTCAAAGACAGAAATTAAAAAATAATTTATTTTCAAATTCTTGTTTATTTTAATATTTTTTTTATTTATTTTAATTGATGGAGAGTAAAATCGGAGAGTGGATAAAAAAAATACAAAATTTTGCATCCACGAATGGCTTTTATTTATATGGAATATGGAACTCGAAAAAATGCAAGATCCCAAGTCCCTAATTTAAAGTGGCGCGCGCCTGGGCCTGGAGCAGCACTAGTAGAGCATTCACCACCTTTGTTTATTCCTTCATCTCTGTTCACCACCACAGACTTTTTAACAGTCTGTGTACACCACAATATAGCAAGTGGTTCGCGCCCGCTCCTTTTTTGTGCCCGTTCACCTGCGTGCGCGCCCACAGCCCACACAACGGAACCAACGTTTGGGCTGACGGCCCGCGGACGGAACTACGTCTTCTTAGACGGAACGGAAGTGAAGAAACGAAACGAGAAACAAAGAGGTATGTAAAAACAAAACAGCAAAAAGCACATGTGCTCTGGTTCTGCTGCGCTCTTTTTGCTAAAAGAGCTTCTAGTAATAATGAACATAAACAATCAATTAAAAGGTACGTGTATAAATGTGCGGTGCAAACTAATTAAAAGAAAAAAGAGCAAAAGATTAGCGAGAGATAGAAAAAAATCAAACTTTGTATGACACGACAAAAAATTCAAACTCACACCAAGCTTTTTTCTCTTATAGAATAATAGAGTTTTAGACGCGCACACTGTGGGCTCTGTGTTTTGTGCGAAAGATGGACGTTGACTTGGAAACTTTGAGGTAATGTAGTATTTTTTTTTTTTAAATACAAATTGAACTTTAATGCATTTTGATTGTTAATTATATAGCCAGGAGGAATTGCTCAGATTGGCTGAAAAAGTTCAAAAGATGAGGTATGCAGCTGCAAAGCCAAAATCTCTGAAGATTTTGACGATGAAGTCGATTGTATCCAATTGGGAGTTTTACCACAATCTATCATCAGAGAAATCTGTAAATCTTCTGGATTTATACATGCGTATGAATTATAACTCAAAAAGCTTTCTAACATTGGGGCGTTTTATACTAAAAATTAAATATTTTTGCAGCTAATTCCATTGTACAAGACTTCTTCGATAAAGGAAACCGTTTGGAGCTCTATCCTGTTGGTGAAAACAATTCTTATCCAAACCCACAAATTTGCTTTGAATTTGTGCTCCTTCTGCTAAACAAAAACACAACTGAATTTGACTTCTACAAGAATATGGAGATTCATTCCTACAGGGAAGAGAGAATGATTTACTATCACATTGTGAAAAACTGTCCGAACATCACTAAAATTGTTTTAAGCAACACAGTGTACGCTATGAGCAAAATGAAGATCTGTACAGAAGAACTGCTTAAGTGGAGAAATTTGAAATACTGCGGCTTCCTGAACTTCATCTGTAACGAATGGCAACTAAAAACAATCCAGGAAAAAATTCCCCAGCTAGAGTAAATAACTAAAACAATCATAAACGAATTTATGGAATTTTTATTTAGAAATAAATTTGTTTGAAAACTTATATTTCCTGCAAATTTTTCAGGGGTTTGGAAATAGCTGTTTCCAATCGGTCATTCTCAGAGAAAGCAGCTGAGCATTTTTCCAATATGCAGAACCTCAAACACCTATCTATTTGTCCTGCCAGACGAAGAGGACAATATATTGCAATGGAGGTCATGGCAAACTGTGTAGGACAGACACCCAATCTCCAGACATTTCTACTTCTCGATGAATCCAATGGTGAAGGGAAAATGGGCTATAATTTCCTTCGATTGTACAAAAAGTTTTACCCTAACAAGAGCCTCACCCTCAAAAATCTTAAGTATTAGATCATCTCAAATATGTTTATGCGTGAAATGATTAATTTTCTACATTAGGATTTGGATGCCATTTGAAGAAGACTGGCCATCAAATGTAACTGTCCGTGAACTGACCATTAGTAAGGCACATCATACTAATGAACTGAGTGTCAAAAATTTGTCTGCAATGCCTTGTCCACCTGCAAAGCTCACGATCACGGAAGAGATCACAACCTTGGTTTACCCCCTCTTGAAAAAGTTTGGTCCGCAAATTTCAGAATTGAAATTTCAAGATTGTATAGAGCCAATCAACTTGTTCACTGTCATACAATGTTGCCCTAACTTAGAAGTGCTCTCCTGCTACTGTACGAAAAATAATATGTTCGAGAGGATTGAGCTGCCTCTTGAAAATTTTAAGAAGTGGAAAAGGTGAGCAATTTTTTAACAAAAACTTAATAAATAAAAGCGATTAATTGATTTCTCTGCGCAGATTTGCCATTCGTCAAATCAACGGACGCGCCGACGGTGTACTCTCGGAGGCTGACACAATTTTCAAAATGTTTCTGTTGGGATCTGAAAATATTGACAAACAATACCTCCACCTTCGCACTTATGGCCAAATCAAGATCCTGGCAGATTTTTTAAAAGAATACCCCAAAAGCCACTTTCAAACTTTGAAGAAAGTCAAAATTAATGTGGAAGACGAGCTTACCATTGAGCCTGCACTGGAAGTATGAACATAATATTATATAACCTAAATTAAATGCTTTAAATAATAGTGTAGCATAAAAATTAATTGTAGAATTTAACCAAGCAGCTAATAGTATTAGAGTATTAGCCAGCGCTTTATTTAAATAAGAACTTTTCTCAATTTTAAGGTTGCAAAAGGATTGATCTTTCACTCTCTTCAACTGCAAAAAATTGAGCTATGGTCTTCCATCTATTCCACAATTTTTTATACCAATTCAGAAATAATTCGAGAAACCCGGAAAAGGCTCGAAAATTTGAGAGAACTCTTCAAGATTGACATCTCCTGGGATCATTCCAACCACGCTACTACTGAGTGGGAATCAAATCATTGGGATGTGATGCACACAATATCTCAAGAGGGGCGGCGCTATATTTTGGAAACTGACGAGGACGAAGAAAGCAGTGATGACCAAGAGTCGACCACATCATCATCTGAAGAGGATACATGTGAAGGCTACAACTACTGGGTACCAAGAAAGCGATTAAAATTCTTGTAAGTACACTTAATGGTGCTCCGCAATGCCATCAGCAAGAAACGTGTTCAAGAAATTGAATGAAATATATAAAAAGTGACGAAACCACAGATGATGTGATTCTTTTTTAAACAGAGATATGTTAAATTGAACCCTCTCTATCATTGCAGTTGACAAATTTTTATTCGTCTCAATATACAAAGTTCATTTATTTACAAATTTTCTTACAATTCTAAGTCGGTAGGGTTGTTCTGCTATATAAGGGAATAAACATAAACGGGACGGCTGGTTTTTCTTAGGCAACAATAAACTGTGCGCCGAACCCCACAGGGTGCATCGTCTTAAGGGTGGGCTTTAATTTGACAAAAAATTAAAAAAACTCTTGCCGAAATCGTAAAAAGCAAAAAGGGCACCTGCTGCAATTGGCAAATACCATCACGGCCCCAACTAGTTTCGCTGGAAGTGCGATGTGCTCTGTTATAGGAACATAAAAAATTTCAGTGGGTTCCCTTTTTTGATTTGTTTAATATCATTGCTTTGAGGTATATTTCAAATTGGAGCCCACCCATAGAAGAAGGGCCCTGTGGGGTTAGGAGCACACTTTCTTGGCAACGAAGAAGTTCTTATGTTTTTTTAATCACCACTTTCAAATTGAATCAATACACAAAATTTGGTTTAGTAGTATTTAATTTTTAGATGATAATCTATATTCCTGGGAAAATACAAAATTATATTTTCTAATACTTGGACAAATTTGAAATTTCTCACTCTTAAGCCTAAATACTATTCACTTCCAAATGTATTATACTAAATATATTTAATTTACTGCCAACTGTTTGCACAATATAATTATGCAAAGCTTTAAAGAATACTTCATAATAGTATTATTTAAGTAGATCTTTGAACTTTGCAACAGGTACTGTTGGCTACAGGTGAATGAGAGCGATAAACAATTTGATTCTTTCCTCTCGAAACTTCTTCAAGACCAACTCATTTGTATTAAATTCGTAATTTAGATTATAGCGCATTTGAATAGCTTGCTTTTTATTATTGATCTTATTGAAGTTTTCAAATTAATTTAGTTTTTCAGTCATCTAATTGAATTTAAATTTCACTTTTCCAAAGCTTTTAGAGTTTCAACATTTTAGTAACGACAATAAGATTGCCTTGAGGTCAGCTCAGTAAGGCATATCATAGATCTCCACTAGTGGCGGCTTGCGTTGGTTACCTGGTGTGATGATGCGCAGGTTCACAACTCCATTGGCAGGAAGTTTGCTCCTCAGCTCGTCAGCAGACGAACAACCACCTCCATTGTAAAGAAGGCAAATTGTAGCCTAGAATGTTTATTTTATTTAATCTCAAATTGGAAAAAGTTTGATTAAAAATTCTACCTGTGGCGGAATATTTTTGAAGTCCATTGCTGAGGCCGCTGGGAACTTTTTGATGTTAAATTCAGGGACGGCCAAGAGGGTTTTGCCGTAGTCGATCAACAGTATGTCAGCCATTGTACACATTTTGCCCTGATATGTCCTCAAAACAGACGCCCTGTGAAACTCTCCAGACTTGCTATCGTCTATCATGGTGACCAGGTACATTTGTCCAACCACTAGATTCGGGCTCTCCTCTTGAAGGACTTGTGCACACTCAATTGGGAGTTGCTCTTTCAGCCACGCAACCACATTGGGTTGAGTTTGCACAAACAGCTCCATGTTGTCAGTGACATGAGAAATGACTACAGTCAGTTCCGCAGTAACCTGCCAATTAAAATTGTTAAAAATTTGAAATTAAATCTTTGGTGAATGCAGTTTACATTTGGAAGCTGCGGCTCCAGATAATCACTGAGAATGACTTCAGCAATCAGGTTGTTGATGGGCTGTTGGTCAATTTGGCCATACTCGTGTAAGGTGAGCTCTTGCACTCCCATGCGAATGGCGGAAAATGGTTTGTTCAGCAGGAGGTTTAAAGCCAAATTCTTAAAACGCAGATCTCCGGTGGCAAACTGGTGCAGTCCATACAGGCGCATCGTAACAGCCTGAAAAAAAAACATTGCTTATTTGCTTTGAAGAAAATTATTTGATTGAATTGCACATACCTGAGGTGGAATTTTCATGTATTTGCAAGGAACATGAGCCAAGTCAGCTAACTTGGTGGTCAAAGTCTCTCCTGAATCAATCAAAAATCCAAGGACGTTGTCTCGTCCGTCAAATTCGACAATTTTCAATCTGGCAAAATTGATGCCATTTCTGACCAAGCAAATGGAATCCTTGTGAACAAAGGTCATTCCAAACTTCACTTTTCCAGCTGCAACCGCAGTCGAGATATCAGAGCTCATTAAAAACAAGGCATCCTGTAAAAAATTTTGATGAGTAAAAATTTATTTAATATAATCAAATCATAAATATTACTGAATATTCAGTGCCCAAAATGTTGATCCAGATTTTGTCAATGTCTTCAACAGCAGTCACAATGACCTCCCAAATGTTGCTGCTAGGAAATTCAGGCATAGGCCTGTCATGGTTTCCCTAAAATAAAGTTGTCTTTAAATAAGCCTTTGAAAACTAAATTTCATTTTGGTAAACCTGGCACAACTCAATTATGCGGATGTTGGGATTTGGCACTTCAAAGAGATCACAACCTCTGGCTATTTCAAACCAATTTTCAGGCAGCTTATCTGTATATGTGGTGGAGTAGATTTCCTCCACTTTTTTGTCCCACAATCCATTTTTGCTCAAAGTCAGAATCTAAATTAGCAAAGACGTATAAAAATAAAATTATTTAAAGGTAAATTTCTTTTAGTCTCACTTTAGCAATTCTCTCCAGAACTTGCTCAAGTTGAGTGGCACTTTTAAATTCATGCTTTTGCATGGCGCCTTTCCTTTGCTTCAAAGTGTCCTGAAGTTTCGCAAGCAACAATTTGCTGGCGTGGTCCAAAGCTAGTTCTCGACGGTCTGCACGGAAGTACGGATCCTGACCAACGACTTCTCCAACCTACAAAATCAAAAATTTAGTGATTACCCAGGAAATTTAATAATTCAGTTAAAAACGCACATTCATCTTGCATGTAAACGATTTCTCATTTCCAATGGAGACGATCTTGGCAACAGGCTCGGGAAGGTTGTTTTTAGTGCACAGGTCTTTCAAGCTCCGGAAAGAAGGACACGCATTCAAATCTCGGGCTGGGAATCCAGTAAGAACTTCCACAGGCACTTGCGGGCTTTGTGGACTCTTGATTTTTGGTGTGCTTGAGTAGTTCGGAGATGTCCACCGTAGATTACTGTTATTAGAAGCGGGACGTCTTGATGTAGCCATTGTGAGCAAGAGCTATTTTCTCAAAGCAGATGAAATGATGCCCTATAAAAATAGGCAATAATTAATTATAATTATTATTATTTATAAATTTGAATTAGTTCTTATGACTAAACGCCTTTTACTTGGATAAGTCATATAAGAACTAATTCAAATTATTTCCCGTTCCGATTGGTTTCTTTGGGTTTTAAATTCTCAAAAAATATTATTTAAATGTTGCACATTGAAATTAATTTTCAAAAGAACTTTTGATACAAACATTTATATTATTTATGTGTAAGATATAATTGGATATAATGATCCGATATGTATATTTCAATTTTTGGTGGCACTGCATGAAGGTTTACGTATGTGTGATCAAGAAATTCACTCTAAACAATTAAATTAAATTGTTTAAAAAAAATTTAAAAATCATATATGAATTCTAAAATTTGTTTACATAAAAATTTAATAAGTTATAATTTGGCGAAAACCATCAGAAAAGGCAACAAAACCCGTAAAATAAGATACATTCTCACAATTTTTCCGCACCATTTTTCCTCGCGTTCTTAGCTGGGAATATGCGCCGTGTGTGTTATTATGTATGGAGTGAGATTAAGTTTACGTTCGGAATTGAAATTTTCAGAGAAAATTCACGCAACTCACCTCTCTTCTACAAACGACTGCCTTTCCAAATTCGCGGCTATTCAACCCAGAAGAAAATTCTAGACCTCGGCTCAGGTTAACGTGCCCGAATTCGAACTTTTCCGATTTCCACAGCAGCCAAAATGTCACCTTCTGATGCTTTCCGTCAGTTTTTGAGCGTTTCTGCAGCTCGCTAGCCGTGTTCGTGCGATAGATCGACGACCTTCGACTCGTTTCAAGTGTCGGTCGGATTCGGAAACGATGGAAAAGATGCAAAAATCTGTTTGTGTTCCAAGCGCTCCACCAATCAGGAGAGCGGACGAGCAGCTCCGTGACCCCGCACATGAATTCTCTACTGTTGAATTTCTGTGCTGCTTGTTGATCGAGTCGAGACTTGTCATAACTTGTCGTCTTGTCGGGGGTTGCGTTTTCTGTTCATCTGTTGTGCGCGCTATAGGCGCCGCGGCCTCCACTTTCGTTCAAACAAAGTTAAGAAAGTATTCAGATTAATTCGATTCATATTATCTGATGGACACCACACGTTGAGTTCTGCTCTTGCGCATTTTTGTAAGTAATATTTTTTTTTTTTAAATTTTAATTTAATTATGTAGTGTGTATTATTTTTTATCATTTGGTTCATTTATTTTTAAATCTTTTTTTCTACTTCATTCAATTTTAATTTCCTTATTTTAACACCAGCAGTCTTCGGCAATGCAAGGTTTGCGATTAAAAATAGAATTATTTATTTTCACATTTTTTTTATTGTCAAAATATTAATAAATTTAAATTTTTTCGCATAGGAAAATACTAAATATGGTATTGCTGAATTTTTTTTTTAGAAATAGAAAATTTTTGCAAAATATTTCATAATTGATGCAAATTTTTCCAATTTTATTTTCATGGAAGTATTTTTTTTTAATTAAAATTATTTAGCAATCATTAAAATGCTTCTTGTAAAAAATTTCTTCCAATGAATTGGGATTTATGTTTATTTTGTTACGTTTAAATTCAGAATTTCATTCAGAAACAAAATTTCCAATTTTCTTCACATATTTTGTCGACTTTAGCTTTAATTAATTTCAAAGTTTGCTGGCGATCGAACTGATGCTCGCTGCGTGTTGCTCTTTGAAAAGCTGCACTGCATGCATTGACGTGCCAGGGCTACTGGTAACTCCGTAACCTCCGTGTCCGTAATTGTGCACAACCTAAGAAATTAAAAAATGGATACGTCAATAATTAAATTAATATATTATCAGAGTTTAGTTAATTAAAATTAATTCAAAATAATTTTATTTTGGAACTTCAAATTTAAAAAATGAAAAAAAATATATAAAGGGGTGAATTTTTTTTAAATTTACAAATAAATAGTTATTTTTACCGGAAGATTTTTTCCTGAGGGAAGAGCAATCATTTCCGCCTCGACCCTGACAGGATCTCTGTGGGGTCGAAGGCCAACCCAGTCGCGGACAAACTCGGCCTTGGCCAGACTGGGCAGGACGGCTGAGCACCTCTGCATGATGTCTGCCTTGGTGAAGGGGCAGACGTTGAGGTCGTAGCTGCCGTAGTTTCGACACCCGCCCAGGGTTATCGTGTTCCTGTTGGGGATGATGTAGGTGTCAAAGTCGGACATGTAGCTCGCCTTTACCCACGGCGCCCGCACCTTAATCACCTGAGAGGGTTTTCATATTAATTTAAAATAAGATTTTTTCTCAAAATTTCAACCTGTCCTCTGATAGGGGTCAATTTGGAGTCGTTGCAAAGGTACTTGGCACCCAGACCGGTGCAGTTGATGACTGCGTCAAAATCTTCAACGTCCGAGAAAGTGTTCACTTTACGCTGCCTGAATTTTCCTCCTGACTGGGTTATCCTGTGTTAAATTTATTTAAAAATTTTAACTCTATTATAATTAAAAAAATTTATTAAGTTTTTCTTTTTTCATCTAAGAAATTTTTAAATTAAAAAAAAAAATCTGCAATATCTAATTCTCTTATATTATTTTTTTCTTCTTAATTGGTCTCTAAACAGAATTTAAAAATTGGAAAAAACAAGACAATTGTTAAATAATTTGTTAATTGTAATTAGCAAAACTTACTTTTCAATTGCCCATGGTTGATACTCTCTGCATTCAATTATCAGCGTTTTGTAAAACGAGCCCCACTTCCACCCTGGATATTCTTCGAGCTCATCTTCGCTCATTGCCCTGTACACAGGAACCACGGTCTCGAGTAGATGATTCTGCAATAATTTCATATTTTCGATCAGAATTAATGCGCTAAATTATAATATTAATAATGTTACCTTGACCATTCCCTCATTGTAATTAGAAAAATTGTATGCGGGAATTTGGAAAATCCCACTGTCCTCTCCTTGGCCAGTAATGCGCAGAGCATCGTAGAATCGATAAGAATCCAAAATCCATTTCCTAAAAATAGTTTTTAAAAATTTTTTGAAATAATTTTAATATATTAAAAATTTACTTGGTGATTTCGATGTTGGGTCCACTGAAGGAAGACGAAGGACGGAAAAGTCCCGCTGCTCCATCACTAGTGGTCTCTTGGTTGAATTTTTCAGCAATAATTGTTACATCCAATGTTGGAAATTCAGACTGCAGCTGAAGGGCAGTGTTGAGGCCGACGACCCCAGCACCGAGAATGCCCACTCTCTTGACTCCCATTGCAATTTAGACTGAAATATTTAAAAAAATATTGAAAATTAAAATATCGTTGAAATAGAAAAATATCTATTGTGAATTGTTGTTAAATAAATAAATAAATAAATTTTTCAATTTTATCAATATTATTTATTTTCAACAAGTATAACAATAAAAAATTGTCATATTATATGGGTAATTTAAATCCATGATGAATTAATTTTTACAAATTTTATCCATTAGAACTAAAATTTATCAATTTTTATGATTACAAACTGATATATTTTATGATAATTATTTGATAATTAAAAAACTATTTTCAGTTTTTCAGCCAAGGGTGCTGGAGAGCTTCGTAAGCTGTTGGCCTCTTTGTCCAGTCCAGATGAAGTAAATATTTTAAAAAGTCGGAAAATTTGCCCGCTTCTGTGGCATCCATCCCTGCCTCTTTCATCAACAAATCCTCGATTTTAGCACTAGTTTGTTTCAAATCAGGTCGTAGTAGTCCGTTCGACATGTACGTCCTTTTCGAGAGATGCCCTGCTAGGGCAATGTGCTTTGGCGCCGGACCCAAAAGGGCTTCGATCGAAGCAATGTGATTGTCAGTGGCCGAGCCATTCTCGTCAGCTTTCCCTGAGAAGAGGAAACGGCCGGTGGCCAACTCGTAGGCCACACAGGCCACGCTCCAGATGTCAGCAGCCGGGCCGTACTCGGCGCCAATTAAAACCTGTGCAAGTTTAATTATAAATATTAATTACGTGTGTGGTTCGTAATCGTAATAATTGTTTCCGGTCTTCACCTCAAAACAACGGTATTGCCGCGTTTGGATTTCGTCAGAAAAATGATTGTCGATGTAGCAGGCGTTGCCCAAATCTGCAAGTACAACACTTGAAGGGCCCAAAGGGTCGGCGGCCATCAAAAGCTGCCTTCTCATGTCGGCGTCATCTTTCAAGTTGGCAGGAAGACCGACGTCCTAATTTAAATAATTTTTAATAATTACATTTCTTGAAGTTAATGTTATAACAAGGATATTGTTGATTAAAAACTAGTATAATTGAATCTTTTTATTTGATTCTAACTATCAATATTTTGAGGGACGAGATGAAATATTAATATTTTTTCAATTCAATCTTAAATAATAATTTTAACTTATTCGCAACTCTCAGAATGCAATATTAAACAACTATTTAGTATCATCATTAACCAATTTTTAATTTACTTTGATTAATTTTATTTTAACCTCTGGTCCAATAATGTTGTGCCTAATTTTGTCCCAAAAACAGAGAGAGCGTCGACGTTGCCTCTGCGTCGTCAGGGTACTAGAGCACACAAATGAAGGCGGCAAGGGCTGCCCTGCCTCAACCAGGTCAAAGGCCTCGGCCGCCAGTCGTCGCACTTGGTCCTGAGTGGTGGCCAGCAAAATATTCTCTGGCTTGATATCACAGTGGATGACGCCGCATGCATTGTGGAGGTAATGCAAACCCTCCAGCACTTGTCTGGTAATTTGTTTTACCTATAGAATAAAATTGATGTTTTTGAAAATAATTACCAAAATATGTTGTAAATTTTTACTTGAATTAGAGGAATGCCTTTGTAGTCTGACTCGGCGACCAGTTTCAGGAGATTGACCCCCAGCACGTCAAAAACCATGCACTGGTGGATTCCATTTGGCCCCGAAACTTGAAAGTTGTCGAGCAGTTGAACCACCCTTTCAGCTCCGAGTATTCCTTCTTGAGTGTAACGCCTTCGGACGTCTAAAAGAAGTCTTATTTCATCTTTGGCCACATCTGTGTATTGCTGAGAACTTTTTACAACCTGGTAAAAAAAAATGCAGTAAATTAAAGTTTTAAAAATGATGAAAAGTGTTATTATATAAAATGATTTTTAATTAAAATTATAAAGCTCTCAGGTAGAAGTTTTTCTAAAGTTTTTAATTCTTTCAGAGAATTACCTTGATGGCAACAAATCTTTTCTCCAAAGTGTCCCACGCCAACCACACCGTGGAAAATTGCCCCCAGCCGAGTTTCCTCGTACAAAAGTACCGCCCCTGGTTGAGCCACTCGCCCAGAGCGAGAGGGTGGTAACCGCCCGGACAATAGTCGAAGGAGTCCTCCTGCTCGTCGTCCTCCTCCTTGGAACTCATAGTGTCGCAGTTTTTTCCACTACAGTGTCTAGGCTGTGTGCGGACCGAAGCGCACCGCGGTGCCCACTGGCCGCGAATCCTGCCCAAAGCGGATCTCGTCTTTCTTTTTCTTTCACTCCTGCAGCACTTGTACGGGTGCCGCAGAAAGACTCAGCCAGCTACGCACTCGCACATCTCGTGCTTTTTTATTGTATTAAATATACGACTCGTGTGCATGTGAAACCGTTCGGATGTGCACAAAAGCGTGGCGAGCAGGTGTCTGTCTACAAGTGCGCCCGCCGTGCGATTTTGCGCCTTGTCTGCCATTCCAATAGACCGGAATATTTTTATGTAATAAATCTACTCGAGCACAATAAACTCGAGTTTAATATGAGTCATTTGAGAGGACATTATTTGTCAAGACGACTACCGGAAATCTAACTGTTTTTGATATTCATTAAAAAAAAAAACATTAAATTGAGCAATGTACTTATATTTGTCTTAAAACTTAAATTTTGATTGTTAAAATGGTAAGCAAAAATATTAGCTGGCGTTATTTGAAAATCGCAAAATCATTTATTTTATTGAAAAGCAATAGTTATTTTCTCATATGTTATTTAATGAGCTTAGCATTGCCTATTTTACTTTCGATTATTTTTCAAAAACCTCCTTTACAAATTTTGTAAAATAATAGCATAAATTAAAATTACATTGAAGGCTAGCTATGTGTCAACTAAGTAAATTCTAAATTGAATTAGACCGAATGACTGCTTTTGCTGCTCTCAAAGCTCACTCGACGGTGAAAATATGAACAGCGAAAAAAGTAATAGAAATATATGTAATCGCATTGTACTGCACCTGGAAGCAGGTGGATTTTGTGTATGCTCCTGCACTGCAAAGGCTTCACAGTGTCGCACTCGACTGACTTTTGGTCACCGAGCAGCAGATCATCCAATGGCCAATTTAATTCTCTCAGCAAGGCCGCCAGCATCTGGTTGACCTTGCACAAGGTCGCCGCCAGTTTAGTTATCACCAAGTGGTCCTAATTAATTTATCGCTTATCGGTTAAAGGGGACTTTTTTCGTTATCTAGTTACGTTTTGGCAGATAATGGGGGAGGGGCGCGATTTACATGTGTGAAACAAATTAAGGGCGGACAGCGCACACCAACACGTTGGCATCATTTTTGGGGATTACTGACGAGTAACAACGTGACTGTCTGGAGGTGCCAATTAGGATTCTGCAACAATTAATACTAAACAAATAATTTTAGAATAATCGATGTAATATTTTTACGTAAGTTTGACTAATTGTAAACTCCTATAGTGACAGTAAGCTTAAAGTATAAATTTCTCAGTCTTGGTTATACACCTCGTACATTGAAGAATTATTTTAACATGAAAAAATTGTGCATATTTTTATCCACTCGATAAAAAGTCATATTTGCGCAAATTAATTGATTTAAATTTTTCCCAGTTTATGCACTTTCAGATCAAATTTCTACAAATTTGACTAGATTTATCAAACAGTTTACGTATTTTAATTTTTCTATGGCACAATTTTTCAACATTCTCATGTGCTGCTTAAAAGGAATTAACTAAATGCAAAATACACTCTCGTCAAATCAACTTAGAACATTCCGTCTCTGATTCCAATTGGCACCAAAACCACAAGGAAAAGGGCCACATTTCTGAGGGCAAGTTTCCAGTCGTTGGGCACTGCATAGGGTGTCAGAATTTTTGTCAAACTGTGCAGTTCATGGGAGGCGCACACAAATACAAAGCTGGTGATTAGAGAGTTAAGGACAGGGTAACCAGGCAGCAGGACGAGGACTCCGTGAGTGTCGGCTGCCAGCCACACATGGGACTGACACACAAAAAGTTCCAGGGCAATCCTACCAAACCACGCAAAGAATGAGGAGTAGCGGGTCCTGAGTGCACCCGACACATTTCGAAGCACAATGTAACTGACAATCTGAAAGTGGAAAATGGAAATATCCATAAATTATTGTTATAATTTATGCACAAGATGAAATAAAAATGAAGGTTTACTTATTACGTACCGGCACAAATACTGTGTAAGAGTGGATTTCGTTGCACTCCTGCTTGTTTCGGCACAGAAATGAAAATGTAGTGAAACCTCCAATGCCAACTAGAGAGGCCAGAGTGGCTGAGAGGGCAATACCAGGGGAGAAAAGGTTGCTGTGGTTGTTGTCGTCAAACAAATTGAGTCTCTGCGCAAGAAGAAATGCAAACGCAAACACACAGCCGAAAGACATACTGAAAAATTTGAAGTTAAAAAAACAGTTCAGATTTTTTTATTTGACACTCACCTGTATCTATCAAGCTTCCATCTAAACCACCATTCGTGAATGTCATCATCTGTAGTCACAAAAAGTGCTTTCCATGGTCTGGTCACAAAAACTTTTTCAAAGAAAACCTGAATTTTTTCCAACAGTTTTGAACAGAATTTATAATAGATAAACAAAATTCTCACCTCTGACATGTACAGTATGGTGATGACGCTGAACAGACCCACAAGTTTGATTACTAAATAAAAGTAGTGCAAGGGGTTGTGTTCTGTCGTTGTGGCTGTTATGTGCGGCGGCAAAGCCAAAACGACGTAGAGCATCACAAACCAAAATGAGATGAGAGGCACAAAATAGTAGAATTGATATGGTCTGTTCATTATCAGACACAGCACAACCGTCAGAAAGTTGAGTCTGAATAGGACCTGAAACCAATGGTTGGTAAAGGGATAATTTATTTTAAAGGCTTTACGAACCTGCAAAAGTCTGACCAAACTGGCATCACCTCTGTGCCAAAAGTAGCTGAAATGTCCGTAGCCAGAGAGGAACAAGTACGAGGAAACCATTACTCTAATGTGCATATAAATAGGCAAAATTCCACTAGCTCCCGTCAGATGGTAAACCAAAATCACAAGTTGCATCCAACCTAGTTGAAAAATTCATCAAAAATAAAAACACAATGTGTCAAAATTTAAATTGTAAAAAGTTATTTGCCTTTCTAAATAAAGAAGAATAAACAGAAATTAAAACATACCTTTCCATTCGTCGGTTTGGTCTCTGTGAAGAACTTTGGTGTATCGTGAGTCCTCAGTGAAAAATAATCCAAGAGCAAAAATGTAGCCGACCGGCAGCCAGAAACTGACTTGGGTGAAGTACTTATTTTCTTTCATAAAAAAGTTTGTCCTGCAATATCAATTTATAATTTACAGCCAAATAAAATAATTTAATAAACCTGTCACAGAGATAAAAGTAGCCCATGATGACTGCAAGTTTTGCCAGGGCGGTCACGATTTCTGTGAAATCGTCTTTATTCTCCATCACTTGGTGTTCGTCAGTCTGAACTCTGGAATATTGGACGCCACTTTTGCTCCATCGTTGGTACTTCATCCTTAGTCCCACCACAATAGCAGTGACACAACTATAAAACAATTGTTATTTTCTTGAAAGTAAGTTTCAGCATAAAAAAACTCACCAAACTCCCAATGCCGAAAAAGTTACAATCTGCAGGGTCGTCGAACTCTCTGCTGAACTGCAGCAAGTGCCGTCGTTGAAGTTCATGTGGTCATTACAGTACATGTTGAGCAGAATCTGCGTGTCATGCTTGAGCACCAAAGGGCTCAGATGCAAGCCGTCGTCACTCTCATCCAAATTTCCCTGCGCCACCAAACGAGAGCTGGACCACAACTCAGCTTTACTGTGCTGGAGGATCTTTTCAAAAGAGGTTGAAAATAAAAATTTAAATAAGATAAATATATTTTTTTTACTTCAATGGCTGCTTTGTTATAGAGATCGATCTGGTCATTTGTTATCATCGAGCGTGTTGGGTAAAGTTTGGCCGAGTTGACAGGCTCCTGCAGAGTCCACAAAACTCTCGAGTGCCTCTTTGACATGTAGTCTATTGCCTGAAAAGAATCGTGAATTAATTTACCACTGTTGCAAAGCCATAATTACCTGAACTAAAGTAGTCAAATTTTTAGAGTATTCGACAAGAGCAACTTGAGATCCGTTTGACTCCTTGATGGACCAGGTGGCCCCGCCCGCTACGATCACACTAGGTGGATGACCGCTTTGCTATGGATTAAATTTCCAGATTACTTTTTTTAACTGGACTAAATGTTGATCTCAACCTTCCAGTCGTTGAAGCTTTCAGACATGTGCTTGTTAACGACAGGGCTCCAGATGAACTGGACTTTGAGTCTGAGTTGGGCGTCCCCGAAAGAGAGGTCGGTGTGTGCGTGACTCTCGGGCTTGGCTTCGTACAGTAAGGAGGATGAAGTTTTAGAGTCCAATTGCTTCAAAAATGCTTCATACAGCTGACGGATCCTTGAGTCGCCCACAAAGACGAAATGGTTGTGCCGACCCAGAAAGGCCAAGTAACGGAAGCACCGCCGTGTGTCCCTAAAATTAAATTATTAATTATAAGGTCTCGGCTATTTAAAATATTATTACGTCAAAGTGTATTTGTGCATCATACAGCCGTACGGTTGCCATTCGGTGTCCCCTTTGTAACTTCCGTCCGAGAGCAGCCACTTGCAGGAATCAATCCCTTGAGAAAATTAAAAAGTAATTAATTTAATAAAAAAAATTGACAGCAAAATTCATCATTCAAAATTTTAAATTTGCCTAAATGAATTACCATATTGCAGATGCAGAATTCCATGATAACTGATGAAGCCGAGGACAACGACCAAAGCCAGCAACTTAGCGTTTTTTGAGTTGATTTGCTGCACAAAGTCGGCAGCCGCTCTGTCCTTTCCGAACGAGTCGTTCTCCATTATTTCTGGCTCACGCTCGGGCAGTCATCCGGACTTTTCCTCAAATTGGACGAGGCCACGCTTCAGTGGCTGTATTTTGAACAAATTTCAAGTTTGCTAATCAAATTATTATGGAAATTTCCGATTCCCAAACTCGACTCGACGATTTAAAATTGCATGCCGGAATACAAAAACAAAATATGACCAGTAGAGCCACCTGGCGGTAAAAAGGTCGAAGGTGGATATTTAAAATTGAAAGGCGGGATGTACTTTTTTTTATGACCGCTCGGGTTTCACTATGAATACAACTAGACAACACACGTGGGCTGGATGAAGGCCATAATATCAAAGGCGTAAAATGAAGATAAAATCAGATCAGAAGCAGTTTATTTGATAAATATTTCACTTCAATTTATATGTTCAGTGGTAAAAGGAAATTTTATTATTTACATATTCAAGAATTCCAAAAATACGTATTTGTTTTCATTTGTTATATATTTTTATTTCATAAGTATATTATTATTACAATGATTTTTTGTATGCTTGCGCAAGCATATCAAATGTGAGATAAAATGAAAAATTAAAATTGCGTAAGATAGTTTTTTCAGCTCTTGCAACAGATTTGCAGCAATATTCTGAAAGATTTATTTATTTTATTGTTATGAGATGGTTGAAACTAATATCTTATGTACCATTTTTTACAAAATAAAAATTATAAACATTTTTACTTAATATAATAACTTCCTTTACAAATTACGGCACAAAACATAATTATATTAATTTGACTTTCCCAACAGTTAATTTTGTTCATTATCATAGCCTTAGAGGACTCTTTTTACACAAACCAGCTGCTGTAGTGCCATCGTGCGTTTTCTTTGTAATCTCTCATCTTCAGAAAGTAATTGAAATTAAATCAATATATTTTAGAACATCAACAATGAACTATGGTTGCATTGCAATTTACAAAGGTGCAAGACGATCAGCCTCATAAAAAGTTCCAATTTTTGTTTTTAATTTTAAACATGATTTTGGAAAAATTATGAATTTCAGTTTTTATATAATGGTGAATTTCAGATTGTTGTGATTATACATTTTTATACAAACAATGAGTTTGACACGCATTTTTCAAAAATAAAATTACAAAATGGATAAAAATTGTAGAAAATGAAAAAGAATATAAAAATTATTGTGTCATCTACCTCTATGTTTTGCAATTTTTTTATTGAAATTGCTCTGGAAAATTGGGAGATGACTAGATATGATAGAACTGCCTAATAGACTAAATCCTCTGCCACCACAAGTGTGTGCAATTTTTTTCATCATATCCACCAAACTATACATAAGCATTTTTTCACATGGTATGTGCTGTTCATATTAATATTTCTGTAGTGCAGATTATCATTTTTATACATCCACATTTTGAAGTAATTATCTTATTTCATATTGAAAATGATACAAATAACAAAAATTTCGAAGATTTGGCTGAATTTTCCTTTTGCAAGAATTCTTTTTGAGTATGTGATGGAATTCTTTTAAATATTCAGTAAGAATTTTCTTGGTTTGTTTAGTAGAATAATATAAAAAATAAGAGAATTTCCATGACACTTTTTAGAGAAAGTAATTTATGAGTATATGATGGCGCAATCACATATCATTTCAGGGAAATTGTCATTTGAATTAGAAAAAAATGCATTTAGCTAGAGAGATCATGGCAAAGGCGCTCTCAATTTCATATTCCCACAGAGCACTCAAGTCGGAAAACCATTTACGAATTTTCAATGCCAGGTCAAAAGCTAAATCTAAGCTAAATTACTTGTTTAAGATTTTTTTTTATCCCATAATAAAAAGATTCTACCATAATTTCCTCCTGTTGACTCTCAAAATCTATTTTTTCTATCGAAAGCTAAATTCATAAAAATAAAAAACAAGGCTTGTCCTGGTATTTCTTCAGAAAATTTGTAATTACATGTACATCAAATTTTGAGTTTATGCTCTCTGGGCATTGATATAATATATTCATACTTTAGAAGCATTATTTTCTATAACAGACACACGAAGTTTCCATTTTTTTTTAAATCTTCTCACAAAACACTTTGTATTGCGAGTTTGAATTGAAAAGTCCTTGATTTGACACAAAAATTAACAATCCAAAATGCAAGAATTTGAGCGAGAAAAACAGCCTCGAAATTGAAAATCTGTATATATAGCTGATTGGATTTTTGCGCAGAGGTGACGAGCCGAAGAAGTTGAAAATTACAATTTTATGCTCTTTTTAATGAAGAAAACTGCCTTGGAATTGGCTTAGATTTATCATGCAAAAAGCTTGGCAGAGAGAAATCAAATGGAGGAGGGCACAAGAGGCTTGTCCGAGTCTCGGCGCGATTTGCCCGAGAAACACAGGCACCCAGAATTGTGACGGCTTCGTTTCAGAGTCTTCATCGGCGGGCGCTCCTCCTTTTCGCGTTCGAACAAGCACTTCTGATAGTAGTCGTAATCCTTTACATACCTGGAAGTGCAAATAAAAACATTTCAATCAATAGGAAAATTGATCGAAAATTACCAGACAGGTGGCCACCTGTTTTCGGACAGGTAAGCCTGGTTTTCCGGGTGTAAGGCCTTCAGAAGTTTGGGCGAGGACTTGCAAATTTTGTTGTAGTTTGTGCACAAATGGTTCATGCACCAATCAGCTAGCTGGTCAGCATTATGCAGCTAAAACAGATAATTAATTTTTACTAAATTCAGCATAAAATATTGAATTTTTTTCAAAGATATTAATAATCCATTCAGATTTTTTTATTAAATTTTCTACTCTCTTTCATTATTTATAATTGATTTGTTAAGAATAAACAAAAAAAATTTAAAAATTACCTTGCAAGGTTCCAAAAGCGTTAAACAAGCTTCCGTGATGTCTTCGGGAGCTCCAGCGTCGACGGCCTTTTGCATTTCCCTGACCAGCCTCGTCTCGACCAAACTGGTCAGCCTCGGAAGGCACAACCTGTTGGCCAATTCAAGCAGCTCGACGCACCTGTGCTTGCTAAGCCCTGGTGGACATTCGTCTGTGTACAAGAAGTGCAGGAGCTGCGAAAACGCTTCTTCTTTCACACCGGGAAACTCGACCTAAGGTTTAATTTACATTTAATCAATATATTGAAAAGAAATGTAAATTTTTGACAGCTTACAACTTTGGCAGAGCTCTCTCTAAAATCTCCGGAGAACATAGCTCGCATCACGTCACACCGGGCCATCAAAAGTGCTTTGTGGGCAGCAATTGTGCCATCCTCGAGTTTGAATCGCACATCCGAAAACAGGCCCTGGCCGAGACACAGAGAGCGTAAACGCGCACGAACAGCCTGAATAAATAATTTAATAAAATTGTACATTTTAAAATAGTTTTACTAAGAAAAACCTTTCTGTACTGCTGCTTGAGATCTGCGTTCAGGAACTCCTCGCAACGTTCTATGTTGGTGACAAAAAGGAGCAATTCGGGCAACTCCATAAATTCTGCAGCCAGACGAATTTCCTGTTAAAGTTTAATGCTGTGAATTGATGACATAACCAAACACGCAAAACATCCAAGCAGCACACCAAGTAGGGAAAACTATGAAAAACTAAAAGAGATCTATTTTTTTTCTAAAACGATAGGATCTCTATGCCTCATTGTTAAATTTTTATTTACCAGCAACAGTCCTAGAGGAATGGACTGCAAAATAAATATTTTTGAAATAATATATCTCTCATTTGTTTTCAAAGGGATAAACTTGATTATAATTGAAAAATTAACTTACAGCTATTTCACAGAGTTTGTCTGTTTCTATGGTACCAGTGTATAGAAATTTGAGGCACTGCTGCATGGCCAAAGGGCTGACGAGTTTGGTGAGGTTGACCACCGTTTGCACTGACGCCGAGCAAACTCTGCCCTCTCTACTGTTACACTAAAAAAGTTAATTTAATAATTTTTGAAAAATAAATTTTATAGTAAAAATCTTAACCTGCTCGATTCTAATTGACTGGAATGCAGGATGATTTAGTTCTTTGTTGATGCTCAGTCTCTGGGTCTGGACGCTGGGAAAAACTTGGCAACTCGACCTCCGCTTGCTCAAGTCCCACAGCCTTGGTAATTTTGTCACATTATTATAAGCAAAGGGTTATCTTCTAATTGCATTCGCACCTATGATTTGACTTATTGTTGTTATCAATCAGCAGCTCCGTATCGTCATTGAAATCTCCGGTCACCGACTCTCCAAACGTGCTGGCCTGAATTATTTCACACATATTTTTTTTTATCAAGAATTAAGTAATTGATAACAAACCAGGCTGGTTTCCGACGAACTCCGGGCAGCGGACAGTTCACACACGGGGTCGGCGCTGCAGAAGAGACGTTGGAGCGCGGGTGAGGCGGCCGCCAGCAAAAAGCGGTGCGCCACAAAACCGACGCTGCCAGCCACAAACACGACGTCCGTGTGTGCCTGCTGGGTCAGCAGCACACCCATGTGCTCCTCAAAGAGACTTGACACCACGCTAACTTCCAGTCTGGCTGGTGGCGGTGGGCAAAAAGGAACCTACAACCAAAATTAATAAATAAGGAGAAGAAAGAAAAAAAAATAAAAATTTTTATCCGAAAATTTGTTTGCAAAAATATTAAACCTTTGTAAATAAAACTCAAAATAAACATTTATTATTACTTTGATTTTAAAAATAGCAATAAAAATGTTATATTACAGTGATATTTATTGTTCAGAAATTATCCAAATCTGCAAATAATTTAAATAAAATAATTTATTGTAATTTTATTTTATTTTTCAAAAAAAAAAATTGTACCTGCAGGAGTGGTCTCTGGACCTTTTTCAGGTTGGTCATCCAAAAGCGCTGCTGTTTGCGGCAAATCAGCGCTGCCCTGATGGCGTTTTCGAAGACCTCGTTGACTCCAAAATGGGTGAGCACCGAAGCCTCATAATAGGTCAGTCCCAACTCTTTGGCAACTGCTCTTGCTTGGTCTGGCATCACCAGGTCCGTTTTGCGCGTTGGACGCACAAACGGACTTCGGTCTCTGAAGAACCGGAGGTACTCGTCGTCTCTGTACATGTACCTAATTAAAAACGCAAAACGGACCAATTAATTTTGCTGCAATTACTGAAAAGAGCAATAAAAGCAAATTGAAACGAAAATTTAAAAAAAAAAATCGTCTGGGAGATAATTGTTGGCAATTATACAGAAAGCAAACAATTTAGTTAAATGTAAGCACCTGAGGTCATTTTTGCAGCCGACCAGCAGGACTGGCGTTTGCGGGCAGAAGCGCCTGATTTCTGGGTACCACATCGCCTGGCAATTGCGCAGCGAGACTGGATTTGTGATGGAGAAACACAGTAACACCACATCCGACCTAAATGTCAAGAAGAAAGAGTTGTAAAAAATTATATATCTGTTTGATTTAATAATTAACCTAGATTTTTCATAACATGTGTGTTATTTTGAGAACAATTTTCTTACCGGCCATAGGCGAATCTCCGGTCTTTCTCATGGTCACCAAAAGTGTCCCAGAGGCGCAGAGAGACGTTGACCCCATCAACAACTTCCCAGGACTGTTCCAAGACCTGTGAAAATTTAAATATTCTATTTTTTAGAAGATTTTTAAAGAAAGTTATGTTTTTTAACTGTTGTGTAATTTTATAAGAAAATTCAAAGAAATAATGGAAAGTTCTTCCGAAGGTCAATTTTGAAATTTATGAAAAGCCGCGTGCCACACACGAAAACAACGTGTCATTGACCCCGATGAAAGAGATGCACTCAACGACCAGGATGCACTTCTTCTTTTCATTTCCAGCACCTCCCAATCCAAAACAGGTTTTATTTTTTAGCTTTGTAGTCGAGATAAAAATCACTGGAGATTTCCAAGCGTGGCTTATCTTGATCGGTGCCCCCCGCACAGACAATAATAATTGCAAGGTGGACTTTACTTAACCGCAAATCTCTTTGCTTGGGTTAGACGCTCATTGAAAAGTATTTTATGAAACTGAAGAAAGCTTCAGTGCGGGTGCTGTAAAAGAAGCCGCGCATTTAAAAGTTGTAAAACGCAGGAAAAAAGATCACGTTGCAGCTGGCTTGTAATTTAATCGTCTCGACAACTACGTTTATATTCTTTGTAATAAAATGTGCAATGTAAAAGAAGAAGTGCATCCTGGAATTAAAAAGAAAATCTCTAGAACTGTGGAAAAAATATATAAATCAAGGCAAAAGGCAAATTAGCAAAATTCTTGCTTGTGGTGTTGCCGTTTTGTTTGAAAATTCAATTTTTGCTTCCCAATAATTTATTATTTTTAAATTGAGTAATAATTGGACAAAAAAATCCTAATAAAATAAATATTGTAAAAGTATAAATTGAGTTGTTAAATTTAGTTTAAAATTTACAGAAAAAAGTTCTCTGTTATGAAAAAAAAAAATCAAATAATTTCAAAATGATACTTTTTAGTTTTTATTTGATGATTTCTTTTGAAACTTTGAATTCAGGTCATTATAAAAATTGCACTCACGTCCTTGTAGATGCGGTACTGATCGATGGCCCACACGGTAGGCACGTGGGTCGTGAGCAGCTGCTCAAGGGAGACCCTTTTGTTGCACGCCCTGGCGCAGATGAGCCGCGTCTTGCCGACGGCCGTGTCGCCGACCACGACGCACTTGACGAGTTCCTGGTGGGGTTGCTCATTATCCATCTCTTACCTCAAAACATGCCTCTGGGCCCGCGGACCCAAACAACGACCCAAGCAGCGCGTACGTGCTCGCAAACCTCAAGGCCCGCACTGCAACAAAACACACACAACATTTTGATTTTGAAGTCAAATTTTCAAAAGTCTATATCTTGTGCTCTTACTTTTCATTGCAATTATAGAGAAGTATTGTAAGTCTAAAATTTATTTTTAAAATTTGAAAACAAAAATTTTATTATTGTTTAAATTATAGTTTACGAAAAAAAATGTAACAAAATTTAAAATACAGAAAATTAATTAATACCATAAAATAATTTAAAATGCAAAAATGTTTTTGTTTCATTTTTTTTTTATTTAGTACTGTAAGAAAATAACAATTTTTTCATTTTAATTATACAATAAATTTAATTTCTGAAGATCTTCTGGTCAACTTGTTTTTCTCACAAGTTTCAATTGAAACGTTAAGAGCGTAAATAATTTGCGTGGCATGCGTGTGAGTGACGATTAAATATTTAAATAAATGAGCCTGCACGTCGGCGGCGATGACGAGTAACAATTACCTGAAATCCTGAGCGCAGCCTTGAGGTATGGGCAAAAACAACGCCATAACTAACGCGTGCTATTCGCAGTTGACGCTGCCAAGTCATTGCTCGGCGCATGAGTAAAAAAAAAAATGCACGAAGGCACTTTTTGCCTGCATTCTCGCGTAAGTGCCCAGTAATTTATACACAAAATTATACAGCATCAAAGGGATAATGTAATTGAAGGTACAGAGTCAATTACGAACTGAATGAAACTGCATCATAAAAACGCGCAATTGATGAGTGAGGAGTTGGTAAATTATACAATCAATTCAATCTTTTATATTAAAAAAAATAATAATAAAAAAATGAATAGACAACAGATTAAATATCAAGCAATGTAACGTTTTTATCAATTCAAAGTGTAATTATAAATTTTTTAAATTGAGAAAGAAAATTTACTTCTTTTACGAAAACCTTTTACTCTCGGTCTAACTCTATAAAAATAAATAATGAATTAATTTCCTCCATTTTTTATATATTGAAAATTTAAATGGAGAAATAATAAGAAACTCTTTATATTTATTTGAAGAATAAAGTGGTATTAAATTAATTTGAACTATTCAAATCATAATTAAAAACTTGAAAGAATACCTGATTTGTCAAGTGCCTGTTTAAGCAATTCAGAAAGTTTGTCAAGGTCTTTAATCGATTGTAGGTTGTTGGTAATAACCTTCGTAAAAAATGACCACATGTATTAAATTTTTGGAGAATGAGACAAACGTGATCAGTTGAATTGTTAATTCAAAAGTGAAACATTTTAGGCAAACTGCGCATCGCGTTATGCAAATTAATTATTTATTACATTTTCCAAAAACTCCTGTTTCGCCCGTGGAATGTTTAATTAGTTTCGCTGCCGTCGCACATCCTGTGTCGGCAAAACGAATCGTTCTTTTGTATGTATTTATTTGCAAAACGCTCGGCGGGGAACGTTTCTGACCAGCATAATGATCAGCGAATAATAAATCAATAGCGGCGGCGCGTCTGGAGGATCTTCCTCACGTTCGCATTATTTTGCAACTGCGACCGGTTAAAGAAATGAACGCGCGCGCTAGTCAAACACTCTCCATGCACATATATAAATACTACATCGTAAATATCACATTTGTATATAAAAGAAGAAAAGCACCGACGGCACGTCAGCCTTGGATTGTTGCAGTAAAAATAAATCGCTGCAGTCATTCAAAGTCAAGCATGAGTTGTTCAGGGAAGTCGCGACGCGGAATGTCAACGCGTTAGCGGTCACGATTCATCATCTATTTGCATATTGAACCGACCAAAAATTAAAAAAAAAAATTAATATAGAACAAAATATCTAGAATTGTTGCACAATAAATTGTAAATTTACTATAAAATGGATAAAAAAATCAGAATAAATTTTAAATTGTCAATATCGTACCTATTTATAAGTATCCGAGACTAAGCATGGAGTAAATATTTTTCAAATTTTGTTTAATTATTACTCTATAATTTTGTATTTTTAATTTAACATGATATTTTTTGCAGCAAAGTTTGATTTTTAAAATTAAATAATTAACGTAATGAATTATAAATTTAATTCCATTAAATTAATTAAATCATTTTTAAAGTTATTTAAAAGTAAAAGATTCAAAATTTTATTAATTTTAAAAATTCAATGCATGAAACTTTATAATGAACAAGATTATCTTTGGTTTTGCAAAATAATCGCTACTCAAAGTTCAATGCTATTTTTATTTTATTGTGTTCGGCTAACAATCGTGGATTATCAGTTGTACATAACTTGCTTGATATAAATATATGCGACGTGCACATTATTCATGGGCGTTGTGTGTGCCGATAAAAGAGCTCTTTGCTCCGAAAGGGGCAGCTGCAAATGCGTAGAAATAATTTGTTGCGACAGCCTCGATTATTCTTTTTTTCCATACTCCGCGCACGATGGCACTTAGTTTCGCGGTTATTTTTAGATCAGGGGGTGGAAAATCTATATGCGGAGAACAAGAGAACAAGCGGTAACGCACCCGCATAGTCACGCAATTGAACAAGAGAGTAAGTTCGGTGGTGCTTTCTCTCTCTAATGGGATTGCCACTGCTTGCTATACAATGCCGAAAATAGAGCGCAATCTATCTAAAAGTCAAAAAATTATATCTCGATCAGACAATCAACGGGAGTACGGAAGGTAAAAGCCATAAAAGCTTCCAAGGATATATGAAAGCTGGAAAAAATTGAAAATTTCTAGTTAAAGGTAAATTTTTCCGAGTTAGTTGGTTAATTAAATGGAAGTATTAAAATGAATTTTTCTAATTAATGTAACATGAGATTCATTAAACAATGACAAACTTTGGAACTTCCAAAACAATTCTTCTCATTATTATTTTTCTCCAGAAGTTTCACTGTGCGTCTCTGTTCAGTGGAATGACGATCAAGAAAATTCCATCCTAAACGAAAATATATGAGAGCAATGATGGCGTTTGACGGACGATAATTAGACCCGCCGCTCTTGTCTTGTTGTTGTGGAGGAAATTTAACGAGAACATACGAAGAGGGAGCGAGAAAAACAAGGCTAATTGACTTTTTGACCTGGGTGACCATGCCACTGATAATGTCCTGTCTCTCGACGACAGCCCGTATTATATTTATTATGCTGGCGAGAGGTCATCATATGAAGTTAGAAGTCATTTTCAAAATGAAAAAAAATTTCACAAGAAAATTATATCAAATCCCAGAAAAAAATGAAGCTTTTATTAATAAAGTTATTACAATTTCAGTTTAATTTTGTATTTTTTTAATTACCATTTAAGCAATCTTTATTATTTTCAACTTGAATTAAAATTTAATCGATTTCATGATAATAATTATTCCTCAATATTTATGAACGTATTTAGTTAATTTAATCCAAATAATCAGCTTGTTTTCGGGTTCAAACAAGATGTACGCGATCAATCAAGATTATATGTATATATGAACCTTAATCTTCTTGATATCGCCAACTCATTAAAACTCGCAGCTTGCTTACATGACCATATTCACGAGAGCGCCATTCTTTCACCGGCTCCATTGAGCCCTACTTAAAAAAAGAATCCTTTGTTAAGAATTATGTTTCGACGCAGCTAAAAAAAATCACCGAAAAAATTTACATGAATTTTATTCAAGAGTTCTTTTCGGAGCGTTTTCGAACTTTGGTCTCGGTCATCGGTCGAGTGCGAAGGAGACTGCTACGGGTATGTCACAATTTTTAAATATCAAAGTTTCATCGAGGACAACGGTCGGACGAGACGACGTTCGTAGGAAAAGGAAGTCTTGTCTGTTTGCCTCCGGTCGGCATTGTTGAGTTGCTTCACCCAGTGCAAGATTAATTATTAGTGCTTTTGTATATAAAAGTGGAACGAATTCCGAAAATAGAACGTTTAGTGCGAGGGCAGGGTAGACTGACACGCTTCGCATGACTGATGCATTGTGTATCGAGCGCCGGGGAAGAGATATTTGTTTTTTTCGTGGGAATAAATACAGTGAGAGACAAAATAAACAAAGAGTTTGCTCCTTCGATTTGATACCAAAATAAAACAATGTCGAATTGAAGGAATAAATGCCGTTTTATGTTTCAAAATTAAAAATTCCTCCTGGGATTTGGAGGTTAAAAATTTAAGGAAAATTGAACAACGAAAAAGGCCAGCCTGAATTACCACCATAACAAGGCAGAAGTAAAATATAAATTTCCATAAATTTTGGCTAAAAAAGGAGGGCATAATTGCTTAGGCAGGCATGACTTATTCTCACAAAGTTTTAGATGAATTGAGCTTTTATTTGAAGAATAATTTTTAATAAAATTTAAAAAAAGAACCAATGTAAAATGAACAGTCAAAATTCATCTCTATTATTTGATGTTTATCTGGCGATCTGGCATAAAATAAAGCACTTCTTTAAAAAAATAAACATCAAATAAAATGAGTCGTTTTAATTTTAGAGAAATTCCAAGTGAAGCAAATGGTTAAAAATAATAAATTACGTCATCAGATTTGTCTGCGTTTTTGCAGTGGAAGCGTCTAGTGGTCGTCTGGCACGTTTAATGCGAAAATGCTTTAAGAAAAACAAACAACGCAGCCTCACATCTTTGTATGCAAGGAAAATAGCCGTAAACAAAGCTTTATCTGTCCACGCCCGCAGCCGCATAATTGTCAATAATAACAGGATTCCTCGGCGGCGCCTCCAACTTTTACCATCAAGGCCAGTCACATGAGCTTAATTTGTAGCCACTTAAGAAGTATGTAAAGAAAGAGGAATTAAGGCGCACGCACTTCCGAGGCAAGCCGATACGGGCATTACTTTTAATGTGAGGCAACCAGTTTATCAGGTGCTGGAATGCGACGGATTTATTTTTTTATTTTTAACGGACAGTTCATTGGAAATGAAAAATAATATCTAATTTTTCAATATTTCTTCCTATAAAATCATAAAAATTTTAAATTCTATAAATAAATCACCGATCGATGAGAATTGAAGGGAACATTAATATATAAAATAATTAATAATAAAATAGAGATTTTTCTAAACATCAATTAATTTATGAATTGAATATTAAGAAATAAAACTAAGCACTTTTATATCAGAGCTTAAAATAATAATTGCTCAACGTTTCAAGAGAATTTCAAGTTTATCTCTTTTTAAAATCTTGCGGCCAATTAAGGAAAACGATTTCACGCGAAAAGGGTGTGCACATCTATTCAAAGCGAGTCCACACAGCACTCCTCCGCCTTTCCTTATACGAAAGTTCTCGTTAGTGCATACTAAGTAAATGAAATCACTGCCTTAAGGAGCGTCTATTTCAGATTAAAGCCGGAGATGCATGGCCTTCAATCCTGGCTAACAATTCATCGTCATGGAAACTCGATCCTTTTTCGCCGAAATCTCGCGTCTGGCATTTCCTGAGGGCTTCTAAAAATTTATGACCAATTTTGATAAACATTAAAGATTGTAAATCATCTGCGGGAGTAAGAAAACAAAAGGAGCTTGGCTATTAAAAAAATATTGGCCAAGATAATTTAAATTAAGTGAACAATTTTTAACAATTAGTTTGTTTAAAATATCCTATAATTATAATAATATCAATAAAATTAATAAAGAAATTTTTACTAAAATACAATTAAAATGGATATATTTCACATTTTTTGGTTTAATTTTTGTATAATTCTTTTATGTTTGTATCTTTTTTATTTCTTCTGAAATTTTCGATGTTATTATATATTTATTTTTTGCCGATTTTTCGTGGTATTTGTTTAAAAATTTAAATTACTGAAAATTAATTTTGTAAAAACTATGGGAAAATTTACTTTGTAATTTTTCCACCTTAACGCATTTTTCAGAACTATATAATCTGATCTTTTTCAACTGATATCACCTAGAATTTCTCTGCTCAAAATCTAAATTGAGGGCGTTGGTCTTCTCCGCGAAATAATAAGCGGCGCATCGAACGAGCCGAGAGAGCACTTCTTTTGCAAATCGTTTCCTGATCTCAAAGAGGCAGGGCGTCTCTCTCTGCGGATATTTTTTTTCAGGTAAAAATTGCGCGCCAGATGAAAGAAGACCTTGCCGCAGCCGCTCGAATAAATAAATGCCGTGCGATAAACCCGTCGCGAATGTGGCCGAACGCGAGTGAGAACGGACGCGAGCGGACGGTTATTCCCTCGGCTCTGACTCACCCACATGTGTCCAAACAAACAAAAGTCAGAAAAGAGAGAGCACGATTAAGCTGTGTTGAGAAGAGTTTTCCATTCGAAGAATAAAAACCAACGAAAATATATTCATTTCAAAATTTTCTCAAAAACTAAAAAAATTTATGAATAATAGAAATTATCAGCTTATAATTCAATTCTATTATAAAGGGAAGAAAGGAATTTCTATGTTAAAAAAATAACTTCAAAGAGTTTTTGAATATGTAAAACTAAAATTTTAAATTTTATATAAATATTCATTATTATTTCCTAATAATTATTTAAGTCCTTTTTTGCTAATTTCCCAAAGGACAAAGCCCGTTTCATTCACTCTGAAACACTGATTACGTTTCAATTGAAATAGTTGAGCAAGAACAATTTTATGGCTATAATAATACTAGCAGATTGTGAGTCATTAACACACCTAATTTAAAGTTAAAACTGTTCAAACACACCAAAATCTACTGTGCAATTCAATTTTTGTGCAGATCTCTTTTTAAGAAAAATTTACTATTGCAAAAAGAAAGAATGAAATCAATAATTTCAGTCATTATAACAGGAAGCGATTGGTACAATTTTATTATTGCAGGCTATTTTTTCCGCATCGAAAATAAACAATAAAACTTTTGCTATTTATGCTAGTTCTATAAATAAAAACAACGCAAACCATGACCTGCGCCAGACGAGAAAAGCGCGCATGGTTCAAAGTAAACAAACAATAAAAAGACAACAGGCAATTAATTTACCGAGAGTGTCTTGGCGTCGCGATTGGCACATCCATTTAACTTATGTTGCACTTTGATACTGAAAACAATGCACAAGCTGAAAGCTGGTCATGCGCTTTGTGGGATGCAACTTTTGCAATGCAAGAAATCGTGCGATTTCCCAGATCACGGTTTACGCGTTTGCTTATCAAAAAGGATTAACGATTGATCCTTGATTATTCAGAGAGGGCTAAAAATTCGAGTGAAAATAAGTTTAAACCAGAGAGAACTTGTTCGTGATGGTTAATACTAGAATTAATAATGGATAAATCTAGTTATAATTGTAAAATAACATAAAATTTCAAAGTTTCTCCAAAATTAAATTCATAAAGAATAATTCTTTTTTTAGTTTTAATATTCAAAATAATCACTCTGAAAGAATTCAAATTGATAAAGAAGGGCTTCATTTATTCACCTGTTTTTTTTTTTTTTTTTTTTTAATAAATCAATTTTAATTTTGAGCTTTTATCGATTTTCAACTTAAATTTCAATCTTCAAAGCACTTCAAAGTGTTTGTAATTATTTCTTATTTCACATATTAACCTAATTTTCATAAAATAATTTAAAATGGAATTTACTATGGTATAAGATTAATCTACATAAAAATCATATTTAAGACGGAAATACTTGAGATAATTTTTTTATCAGCTAGGAAATTTCTTGATTAAAAAATTCTGTTTCCTACTATTCCTTATCCTAACATAATATTGTGGTAAAAAGTAGTCAAAATTAAAAATAAAGATTAAAGAGATTAGTTTAAATTTTGTTTTGTTTAATATCTTAATTTATATTTCATAAAAAAATCCAAAAAATCAAGTTTTTAAAATAATGTACCAAATCTCACTCAAAATTGCGTCATGTTCCACTACATTTACAAAAAGGTCAACTGCGAATATTTTACCCCCTTCGAATTAATTTTTGGGCGGCCAAAAATCCCTATTTCTTCCTACATACTCTGCGGACGTGTTTCATGTTTTCGGACAGCAGCTGCAGCAACTGGTCGAGTTTGCCCAGACCTCGAGGCTGTTGGTGCGGCAGGGGGCGGGGGTGGGGGCGGGCGGGGGCGGCTTCAGATTGTGAGCGCACTCGGACACCCGTTGACGCATCACCGTCCGAATTGGAAAAGGAGAGAACAGACTGTCCGACGGGATCACGCGAGCAGTTGGACGCACGTTGGCACGACCATCCGCGCTGCTCTCAAGTCGAACACTCACTGCGTCCGCATAATAATCGTGCTGCGGAGCTGGAGTGAGACTCTTTGCTCGTCGAGCAACAGTGCGAGCGAAACGCAACCAGCGGACGCCGCCACAACTAATTAACCAGCACCCAATTAACCGAAAATATGTATTTTTCTTCTCGGTTTGAGGGTTTTTGTTGATAATAAAATAACAGTTTGAAAGATATTTCAACAAATATTTAAAAATGTCGTTTCCGTATAAATAATTTTCTTACAAGTAGTAAATCCCAGTTAATCCAACATTTTTTTTTTCATTAGTATAATTCTTATTGATATTTCAGGATTAAATTATGTAGAGTTCAGTTTCGGATCCGATCTCTATCATGTCAGGCCTCTGTTTGTCAAAACATTTCTTGCACCAAAATATTTACTGCATAATTTTTGGATAGTAAATTGCATTCAAATTTAGAATTTCATGCCACTCATGCTATCACATTACAAAATTTCTTGGCCCAATAAGCAATAATGCAGTTATTGGTAAATAATATTTTTATATTCAATTATTTCAATTATCTTATTTTTTTTTCTGAAAACAAAATTATCGAACAATAATAGCCAATACCGAATCAAATTTTATGCTTTTCTTACATAAATGTGAAAAGGCGCGGCACAAAAAGCCAAGACAAGTCATGTTGGTTTTCATATCGCGCTAAGTTGGCAGCCAAAAGTCTTTGCAACTATAGACAACCTAACAAAATAAATAGGTATGCAAAATTATTAAATTAACAATTTAAATGCTCTTAAAATCAATATCTGATTTAACGTTTTAATTTTAAACTTAGTCGAATATATATTTTATGATACAGGAACAAAAATAAAGTCTGAATTTTCGTGAAATTATACTTTGTGGCAAAATTTTATTTGGTTGGTAGACAGATTTTATTCGCGCCTTGAAAGTCGACGATCGACGAGAATTAAAGGCATTAAAGCAACAGAAGACACATGGCTGATCGTCGATGTACTAAAATGTACTACATACCTGAAATTATTAATCTTTCCGCCAACATTTTTGACCTTTTTGCCACAAATATCGTCCCTTGTGTGCCGGTAACCAATAATCGAGACCTCCGGAGGCTCGAAAGCAACGGTGGTCGAGCGAAAATGGTCCCAAATCGACCAGAAACTCGACGTGCTGAAGGTAAGCACTTAAATTTTGGTTTTCATGTAGCAGAAGTTTTTATGCACTTTAGCTTTATTTTATTCTATTTAATTTTCCAGCTTGTTTGTCCCGAAACCTGACAATGAAGGTCAACGATGAATGGCTAGACCCGGCCTTTACTTTACTTCGTTGCCCGACAAGTTTTCCAAAATTTTCTTTGAATTGTCTTTTATGGCATGTAAAATTTTTCATTATGTATTATTATTTTAAATCATGAAGACTAATTTCAGAATTGCTTTTTAAATGGTTTTTGGAATTTTTCTTAAGTACGGCTGATGAATTTTTGCAGGAACGGCACGACCCCCTTTAGATCCAATCCAAGTTCTTCGGGAACTCCATTTTGGGGGTGTCCGCCATCAGGTTAGGAAGCCAGGACTGCTGCCGTAAAGTAGGACCGGGATGGAGGCGATTGGTAGCAGGAGCTGACCCTTCAAGAACCCTCCACAGCGCCCGCCGTATGGGTAGCCATGAGGGCAAAAACCCTCGTCCTCAACTTGCAGATGCTGGGTTGCCTGGCTATAGCACCCTAGTGTACCTGGAAGATGGCTCTCACCTACGGAGGTTTTGCCAAAAAGGACCTCCATTTCGGAGGACGATTGATTTGCCCAAGGTAAGATTCTTTCTAAAAATTGCTTTTTATACATTTTTGTATGTCAAGTTTTTCTCTTTTCCCAAATGAATTGATAATATCTTTCTTTTCAAAAGAAAGTGGATCATCAATCGCTGTTATTTCTGTTTTTTAATGAACTTAAATTGAATTTCAGTGGCAGTTATTTTCGCTGCTGAGGCCGGAGAGACCAAGGCTGGCCTGTAGATGATCAAATTCCTGCCCCAGAAGAACCTGCTTCTTTGAGACACCCAAACTATCAACAAATTAACTGCAGAGAGGTGGATGGACCAGTCAGCTCATTACCTTCACTCAGGTCAGTTTTAATTTCATTTTTTTAAAATTACCAAAACTTGGTTCCTGCACGGCAGGTGACCAATCAAATTTTATTAGGGCAAATAATTGGCCACTTTTAATCTACCATTTTTCACAACGATTAAGCAATAACTTAATCTTATCTTGAGAATAACCAGAAATTCTTATTTATTATTATTTCTATCATAAAAAGCGAAATCTCAAGATTTATCAAGACTAGAAAAATTATAAACTCTTTATGATTCGGAATTGCATTGTGAAGGAAATGCTGTGCCGGCAAACTGACTCCATGCCGTGTTTTGGTGAATTCTTAAGAGTCTTATTTGCCTAAGAAATGTTTACTAAGGGTTTTTGAAGTTTTTAAATGTTACCAGAGTTGTAAGTTAAGATCAAGAAGAATTGGTCTTCTATAAAATAGATTTTTGAAAGAAGAAATTTAATGAGAAGGCTTTGCAAAGGGCCTTGTAATTAACATTTTTTTCTGTAGCATTGTTATTGGGTAGCAGCTTGAAGTGCTATAAACATACAAAGTCAAATATTCTCTTCAAAATTAAAAGTTTGTAGCAACACATTCATAAGTAAATTCCTGATTTATCAGAACAACCAAGAAACATATTGTTAGAGAAAGCTTATAATTATTAATATTTTTCTGATAAATTGAAGGAGTGAATCTGGGAAATCAAATTTAAAATTCGTCGGAAAAAAATTGATATTTAAAATAATTTTTGTGATTAATATCCGAATTAAAATACAAAATTAAGCAGAATTGAAGCTCAACAAGGAAATTAATTAGAATCCTAAATTTGCACATCAACTCGGGAGAGTAAAAATTCACGCGTACTCCACGCTTTGCCTCTTTGTCCGCAAAAGAGCAGATGGGATCAATAAAATTTACAAGACCAAAGCAGACGCGTGTACCATGCTTGTAGTTATATGTATATGTGACAAATAATAAGCGTCACTAGCTGGCTCTCTTTGCAGAGGTTTCGCTCGTCGTCGCTGCGGTCCAGCGTGCGGAAGGCCTATGTGTTTAACTTATCATCGTCGCCGCTCCTTGTTTTAATAACGTGTTTGTGGCTCGCGTGCTTCTTGTTATTCTCGGAGATTTTCGCAGCGCTAAACTGATCGGCAAATGCAGCTTTTGTTTCAATATTTCTACATAGAAATTATCATTGCGATAAAATAAAAAAAGAGCCATAAAGCGGTCATTGTCTTTGAAACAATTGAAAATGTTGGGTATTCTTTACATTAATTTAATTTTGATAAGGAAAATTTTAAATATTTTAATTAGGATACTTTGATATTTTTGAATATAATTAGTCACGTTGTTTTTTATAAATTCATTTTTAAGCAAGAAATTAAAAAAAGTTATATATTTGGATTGACAATTTTGTTCTTCAAATTCAAAATTTTATCAAATTCAAGACTTTTCCGACATTTCAATGTTTAAGTTATTATGAATTTTGAAATCTATTTGACAAGGAAGAAAGTATTTTTTTAAAATTTTAATTGAAACTATCTGACATTGAAAAATCTATTTACAATAATGCGTTCGATCGAAACAATTACAATTAAAAAGTCAAAATTTTTCTGCTGAAAATGAATTTGGGTGCGCCGAAATAGGACCCAGTTTGCAGCAGACACGCGCTGGGGTGGCGACGGCGGGGTGAACACACTCGCTTTGCTGCCAAGGGTCACGCGCCCTTGAACGCGGCGAAGATTCAGTCTAGCCACCCTCGGCGGGTTGGTGGGTGGGCGGCTCGTGACGTCAGTCGGGTTCGATATCCCTCCTGACGTAATTCTCTGCCGGTCGGCGGCGTCGGTTCTTTCCATTTCACACCCCCGGCGCCTCCCCATTCATGTTCGCCCTCTGAGTTCGGCCCAAATTAACCGGCACCCCTCGCACCTGTCACCTCGACTTTGGACAAAACCGACAATTAATGATTTATATATATGTAAAAAAAAATACAAAATAATTTATTTTTAACTGGAATGGAAAAAAACACTATTAATTTGGCTGAGAATTAATTATTCCTGCGACAATTAAAGTTAAGCTGTGAATTGAATATTAATTCATTGATCCAAGTTTTCCATAAACCGATTCCAATGATCTGCTTTCCGTGACAGAAACTGACAGATTTCATCGCAGATAAGAAATCTGACTGCGCATTGATGCACGACAGACAGAATGAATTTATAGTGGTTGATTTATTTCCATACATTGATTTTCCAGAAAATTTCTCCTTTGCCTCCAGCCCTCGAGCCCTCCAGTGGATTCTTTTATATAAATTTTTGTTATAAATTAAGAAATTAATTTATTTTTTGAATTTTAAATTGAAAAAAAAATTAACTGAAAATCAAAACCGAGGTCTTATTTATAAAAAAATTATGTAAAAATCTTCAATTTTATTTGAAAACACAATTAATCGGAGAATTCGTTTTTAATTTTAGCATTTTCTTTTTCTTTCTTAAATTGATACATCGATTAATTTGCATGACTACTTTTTAAGAAACATTTTTTTTTTCAAATTCAATTTATTAATTATTATCAATTTTCTCTACAATGCAAATACAAATTTTGAACAATTGGTATAAACTTCTATTTAAAGAATTAAAAAAAAAAAAATTTGATGCGTACAATTCGGTTGTTCGAAGCCCCTACCGCAACCTTAACTTAATGAGACTTGTGCTGTACACTATAATCAACTTAACTGCTGCGTTAGTTGAATCGGCCGGTTAAAAATAGCCGGCGCGAGGGAGCACCCAGAGGACGACGCGGCTCTCATGTATTTGCTTATTGCGTGTCGCTATTTCTTGTGAGCACCAAACGCAGACGGATAAAGCGGTTGATGTGTGCAAAAAGAGAGTAAAACTTCCATCTCAGCTGGTGTTACGAGTGCGCAGCACTGCGGTATTGTGCAGAAAACGTGTACTTTTTGCTCCTCAACGGGCGTCTCCGTTCGCAGCATGGAAAGGGTTAAAAAGACAGACGAGTGCCGCATCAAAACATTTTGAAATTCAGCAAAAAATGATGATAATAAAATGTAACATTAATGAAAAATAAACTTATAAAAAGATTAATATTATCTTGAGTGAAAACATTTTAATTAAATAATCAAAAAATGATAAATCCATGTTAGCTAAATTAAAAATAATATTATTAAAATCCCTTTAATAAATCTTCTAAATGCTATAATATTTTTGTTGTGTCTATAACATGAAATTATTAATTGGTTTGATTATAAAAATCGCTATAAATTTATTATTATTTCAACTTTGAACGGTCGTTGCTTTTCAATTAAATTATACACGCATCAATAACCTTCTCACCAAGTGAGAAATTCTCTTGGGTGCAGTTTAATTTTCCCTACCTGTTGCTAAATTACCTATTTAGAGTAAAAAAATCTCCCAAGAGATATAAAAAAACGTTCTCTCTAGACACATAATTCCTTTACTACTTTTCCATATAAAAATCCCTGGATTATGTTTTTATTGCTTGGGATTCAAAAGAGTTAATTAAGCCTAAGTCTATAAAAATTTATTTTGTTATCTCCACACGCATTTTCATATATAATGATTATTGCTGATCCTTTTCTTATCTAATTCGAGAATTGTTACCAGGCACCAATATCACCTGCGCACGAAATTAATTAAGTGAATCATATTGAAGTGGCGAGATTAAAAAAATCTAGCTTTTTGAATGAACACAATGAAAATTAATGAAAGATCGTCAAGTGCCCGTCATTTTTTAATTCGCAAACACTTATCGCGAAGCGGTCTCGTGTGACATTGAACGTGAGGATTTGTTAATTCATCTGACCGATAAGGAAAAGTTCCACTTTGATATGACCGGAATTTTTTGCAATCATAAGTCATATTTTGTTGAACCAAAGTAAGACAAAAACAAATATGTCAAAAGATTATTTTTTAGTTATTAAATGTAAAAATGGTTAAAAATGAAAATTATAATTGAATTTAAAAAATATGAAGGAATGCGATAAAGAAATGTTTTAATATTCCTCTTTGGTACATTTTTTACTGTTATTTTAAATTAATATGTAATTAATTAATCATTTAATTAGAAGATAAATAATCTCACCTTAAAAGGACGACCACCCTTTTTTGGTTGTGCACCTTCGCTCCTTTTTCCCAGACCGGTCTGTTGAGAAAAGGCGGACGACCTAGCTCGTATGCACGTCAGGTCATGTAGGCCCTGACGAGGGTCGCAGAACCCTGACAAGTTGCATCCCTCGAAAGCACGCACTTATTTGCAAATGTCAAACGCAGTTGTTTGCAAAGCGACGCGCAGTTGACAAGAAACGTTCGAGTCGCAGTTCGTTCTCTGCAGAAGCAGGAAGTGCAAGCAGCGCGAGGTCAAAGGTGCGGTCACCGCTGACCAACCTGAGCAAGCGTCAGGCAGTCGATCCCTTCTTTTCCGCCGCACTCAAAACACACAAGTGGACTCGGCTGGTGGGGGAGGAGGAAAGAAAATCGATCTCGATTATTGAAACACTGAAATGCCGCAAAAGAAAATTCTCCGAACTGAAATTCGCCTAAAAATGGGACCTCTACAAAAATTAAAATAATTTTAATCTGGTTAAATTAAATTAAATTAAATTATATCAAATTTACAATAAAACCAGCAAAAAAATATATTATAAATTGTAATTGTTAAAAATATTTTTCTCCAATTAAAATAAGTTTTTCAGGAATTGATCTCCAGACAATTTTTTAAAATTATTAAATTACGGATTTAATTGTGAGGCGCACTTCTTGTGGGAATCGATGTTCGATACTAATTATTTCTAGGTAGGATGTGCGCGTTTGCTGCGCCAAAAGTTGGGTTGGTGTACAGGTCGGGACATCTGGTGGCCTGCGCCGGTGCTCGCGGTCCTGCTGCTCGAACGCCGCGCCGACTGGCAGCCGCGCCGAGCATCATTTCTTCTCTGCTAATATCTGTGCAATTCTAGTTGAGCCGTACCTTTCTTTTTTAATTGCTTCCAATCGCCTCGATTATTATACTGGTATTGATTTTCCGCTCGCGCCGCAGCCAGTTGAAATCTTTATCGTCCGACTTGGCACCTGGTAATTTTGATATCAACGCACAATCTGACTTGAACTTTAAGCACGTTTCTTATCTTTCCCATCCAACGGCTGGTGTAAGGAATGAAGTCAGTTAAGATCTCAAAACTGTTTTCGAAAATGACTGAAAATTAACTTTCTTAAAAATCAAAGGTGCAAAACACGGGATCGTTTCTTATTGTGAAAATGATGTGATTTGAAAATTTTAATGGAAACTTCCAATATTTCAAAATATAGCTGTGTAAAATCAATCCTATCAACATTTTTCTATTTGATTTGATTATTTTAAAAGAAGTTACAAGTCCAGTCAACTCCAGGATGGTGCTTATGCGACTAGAGAGCGAGGCCAGATCTTACATGTGGAATTTTTACAGAAATAGAAATATTATGAAAAATTACAACAGCGATATACACCATTTTTTTATATTATGGAATTTGCTATTAACCAAATACTTGAGATTTTGCAACAAAACATTCCATAAAATATTCAATTTGCGATCAGTGAATTACTTTATGGCGCATTATGAGATTTATGAGGTTCAAGGCGATACATTCGAGTTTCATATTGTACTGTAGTTATCATGACACCAATGATAATTCAATAAAATTTTATCAACTCACAATTACGTTCCCAAATTAAAAAAAAAAAATTAATTTGTTTGTTTTTTATTATGAGTGCACATTTTATACACGAGAAGTTAAATTTGTTGTACCCGCGATCTGGGAATCGCGTGAATCAGGTAAGAGTGGGCGAGAGAAAAATACACACGTGTGTTGTGATTGAGGCGTGTGTGCTTTCATAAAATTGAACTCTTATTAATAATATTTTTTACTGTATTTGACGGAAATCTGTTGCAAATTTCCGCGAGAAATCTTGGTCCAAGATGAGATATTAGGTTTTTTCAACTTGCGTTTGCGGACCACATTTTAATTTTTTTTTAATAAAGTATTAATTTGGAAAGAAGTTACAAGTCCGGCCAACTCCAATTTTATTGAAAGAAAACGATAAAATGCAGCAAATTATAGTAATATCTCATCATCATTTTGCATGCGTTATGTGCCATCAGTAGATGTTAGCGTGTCACTCTTACATGCGATATAATCTTCCATGCTTTGCTGATCTTAGCAAACAAAAAAAAATCGGAAAAACTTACCAAATTTCTCCAACGAGTTTTGCACACGTTGTTACTACGTCTTACATAGCGATAAGTCTTGCAAAGCCAAGACACGTTCTAATCTTTAATATTTAATAAATTATATGTATTATTAAAAATTAAATTTCATTCCAAAATATGGACCAGAAAATTACTAAAAGTGACGCCTACATTAAAAAAATTAATTGAAGATAAGGATTACCTACTAATATTCCCATTTATTTTATTAATTTGAGAAGATTCTCTTTCAATAATTTAATTTTTTATACTTACCTTCTCCTTATTTAAGCATCAAAATTAATTCCTTGAGTTAGCAAAATTTTTTTACAATAAAAAAAGCAGAATTAAATAAATCCTCCTAATCAGTCCCTTATAGTTATGAAAGATTGAAACCGGGCGAACCTCGTTGCAAAGAAAAAATGAAAAAATATAAAGGACAACTGACCCCAAAGGCCTTAAAGTACCAGCAGACCGCAGGTCGCCTTTGGGGTCAGTTGTCCTTTATATTTTTTCATTTTTTCTTTTCAACGAGGTTTGCCCGGTTTCAATCTTTCATGAAATCCACCTCGAGTGTTACCATCCTTATAGTTATATTTTTAATTAATTGAAAGTATCTTAAGCAGTAAATAACAGAGGAGTTTAATTTCATTAATAAATTTTCCTCTTATATTGTATAAAAAGAGTTTGAACAAACAAATGACATAATTCCGTGCAGCACCTTTGCTCTGAACCGCGCAGTGTGCAATTAACATGATTTTGATTTGTTTTCTTTGAACATTAGCACTCTGCTCTGTGACCACATTCGACATCATTTTCCAAGATGGATGGAGAAATTCCGTGTTTTGTTTTCAGTACGAATCTGATTGAGATATTGCATGCCGCCCAGCGACCATTTTTATTCCGTTTCCTCCCGGAGGAGGAAAGGTCGAGACAATTTGCATGTGAGGCTTTGTTTTCAATCTCGCTGATCCCCTCGGCATCTGTTTTATTGGCCAGTAACCAATTTCGAGGGGTGCGCAAGGAAAGAAAGGCCCCAACTCTTTTATTGGCTTCCTCGAAATGTTGTCTGCCAGTTTGCGACTCAAAGTTTCTTAACTGAAAACAATTTTTGTATGTGAAAAATTACTGCAGACTGTTGAATATTTAGGTGTGATCCCATTTCGAAATACAAACTGTTAAACTCATTTTTTTCTTCTAAATTTATGATTCCCCGGCACGAACCAATTTTTCCGCTGTCATCAAAACGGTGTGGTTTGAGGAAAAAAGAGCGTCGTCTTCTGCTTGCTCAAAATAGACCGATGTTTTATTGCCCGCTTCGTCTGAATGGACGCTGCATGTCAGTCACCCATAAAACAAGATGATTATACGCCGCGCCAAGAGCTTCACGGTTTGAGCTGGAATAAAATCATTTTGCCCGATTCCTCTTCGTTAACAGCGCGCTGCTAGTGGCCTCTTCGCATGGAAGGGATCTTGGATTTGTTGACGATTTATGCAACCAGCTCGGCGTTCGTGACAGCCCGGTTGCATAAGGCCTAATTTGAAAAGCTCACGGGAGGCAATCATTGATTGAATTTGACAGTTACATTAAGGTCACTAGGTTAAATTCAGTAAAAAATCCTTAATCTTACATAATGTTGAGCGTAAAATAAGAAAAAATAATACAAACAGCATTAAATATTTTAAATTAAAATTGATAAAATTGCCTTAAACACTTCTTCCAAAATAATGTAAACATTTTTCAAAGGAATCAGGGGCTAAATTAAAATGATATATTTCTTCAAAGCATAAAACTGAAAACCATTAATTTATCTTAATATTATTACTTTAAAGCTTCAGTTACTGTGGATAATTTTTTCACCAGTCAAACCTTTGGATAATTGTGAAAAGTTGTCTAATTTTAAAAACGATTTTTAAAGGAAAAACATCCAAGTTTTTGAAATACATGCTTTATAAATTTACTAAGATCGCACGTTTTAATGAATACTTAATAAATTAATAAACTAATTAACTTTATATAATACATATAATTTGGTTCACTTTGGAAGTTCCAACAGCATTGCATGATCACTAATCTCAAATTAAATTTATGATCGCCTAAATATAATCCCCTAAAAATGAAACAAGCATGAAAACTAACTTCATTTATAAAAATTCAGATTTTTTTTTGTATTTTACCTGTTTGTTTGTTTCCTTTTTTTTATAAAATGAGGTCATATCCCGGTGGAAATCTCTCTCTTGGGGGAGCAGGAAATTCTCATGAGTCGCGCTGAGGGCCTGGTGCTAAATTTGAATTTGAGTACAAGAGTCCCAGCTGGGGAGGGCACGCAGTCAACAATGGGTCTAACTCAAGTGGACACAGGTACCATTGTTGCGCTGAGCACATATAGAGCGGCGGTGCCACTTGACTCTTTTATTGCGCACGTCGGGACAAAGCAAGTCGATATTCGCACATTCTAAAATAAAAATAAAAGTAGCCGAGGAACCAGCATCCGACGTTTGCTGCTCAGCACCTGCTCCTTTTTTGCTCAGAAATTTAGTTTGCATCGATCTATCTGGTGCCTGCGTGGCATCGACCTTTCCTTTTTCTTTGCGGAAAGATGAGAAGCGGCCTGGCTTAATTTGCCGCTGGTCTCGCGTGTGCGCTTCATTGGAATCTACAAAAAAGTCAATAACTTTGAATGAGAAAACCGGAGGAAACCGCGGATGTTTTCGTTCCAATTTAGGATGGAATGAGAAGCAGAGGGAGAATTTTATTTAGAGATGGTAATTCTTTGCAAACAATAATACATGCTCTGGCGAAAATCGTCCTGGAGAGAAGAAACCAGATACATATCAATATATTTCCTAGAATAAGATTTAAAGGAAAAGAGTTATAGTTAACAGAAATTCCATTAAATATGCAAATTGATACGTTTCAATGGAGAGTATATTTAAAAATTTTTGAATCAAAGTTAAAGTTTTGAAAGCTCGTCAAAGACTTTCAATTCATACAAAGTTTTAATTTTTAGGCTTTATATTTTTTGTTCATTTTTACATCGCATAAAGGTTTAATATGATTGAATGAAAAATAATAAATAAATCAAAACTTTTAGTGGCAATAGGGGGCTTTCCTGAAATTTATAAATAATGATTAAAATGTGATATTATTATTTATAATATTTATGAAAATAGTTGAAGAATTATTATTTTTTTTTATAGTGGGAAGTAATAGAGAAATAGCATCTAAAGCCAAAATTTGCAAATGAAAATTATCTTTTATCAGCATTCAGCAAATTAATCCAATCTCTTTACAGAAGAATAAATTTTTGAATCCTTTATTCATTGATCCAAATGCAGTTTCACAGATTTCCAACTTAAATATATATCATTTTCCGTGGAAAATGTTTGCTCACAAACTCTTCACTCCAGCTAACGAAGTGAACTCAACATTCCGCGTGCTTCTATTTTCATGAAAATTTCCATTCGCCGTCTGCTTCTCACGATTAATCAAAGTAAAAGCTCTTGCCTGACTGACTTACTTAATAATTTCGCTGTGACGAGAAACGTAATTTGCTTCTGTATCCAAAGTTCTTCGTAATATAACACTCGCGATCTCGTTCTTTCTTTTTGCAAAC